CAGTATGGAGATTCCTCAGGAAAATGGGAATCAATCTACCACAAGACCCAGCAATTCCACTCTTAGGCATATATCCAAAAGAGGCAAATTCATACAACAAGGGCATCTGCTCCACTATGTTCATAGCAGCATTATTTGTAATAGCCAGAACATGGAAGCAACCTAGATACCCCTCAACTGAAGAGTGGATAGAGAAAATGTGGTACATTTACACAATGGAGTATTGCTCAGCAGAAAAAAACAATGGAATCTTGAAATTAGCAGGTAAATGGATAGCACTGGAAGAAACCATCCTGAGTGAGGTAACCCAGTTGCAAAAAGACAAACATGGTATGTACTCACTCATATATGGATTTTAGACATGGATCAGGAGAGTGCCAGTCTGCACTTCCAATGACAGAGAGTCTGGGAAACAGGAAAGAACCTAAAAGATATGCATGGTACCCAAGAGAAGAGAAATGAGGCAAGATCCTCTGAACAGATGGGGAACACATCGAGGGGTGGGGGGAGGGGGAGCTGGGAAATAGAGAGGGGGAAAAGAAGAAGAGAGAGTAGGTCATGGGGGAACAGGAAGTTGAGGGGGTGGGAATAGGGAGAAGAGGGAATCATAGGTTAGAAGACAGATCAGGCACCATTGTGACCTCTAGTGATGTAAAGGGATGACACCAATTGGCAAGCTAAGCAATAGTGCAGAGACCACCCCGAATGTCCATTCCTGATAATGAACTTGATGTCTATAACCATCCTGGAGCCTTCATCCAGTGACTGATGGAAGCAGAGGCAAACACCCACAGCTAAACACTGAACTGAACCCAAGGAACCCAGTGACAGAGAGAGAGGAGCGATGAGCAAATTGGCAGAGAATGGGCTGGCAAAACCAGCAGAGACAGCTGATCTGAACAGGGGAGAGCTCTTGGACCCCAGACCGACAGCTGGGAGGCCAGCATGGGACTGATCCTGACCCCCTGAATGTGAGAGTCAGTGAGGAGGCCTGGGCAACCTATGGGGTCCTGAGCAGTGGATCAGTGTTTATCCCTCGAATACTGACGGACATCGTGTGTCCATGACACGGGGAGGGATGCTCTCTCAGCCTGGACTCTTGGGGGAGTGCCTGGGCCCTACCCTGAGTGAAGTGATGTCCCCTATGTGGAAGGAGTTGGCAGTAGGGTTGGGGGTTGCGGGAGGAGGGGAGGGAGAGGAAACTGGGATTGACATGTAAAACAAGCTATTTGAAATTAAAAAAAAAAAAGAAAGAAAGAAAAAAAAAAAAGAAATGTGTGTCACAACCCAAACCAGGCTAGAGAGAACTCTTGGCCAAAGTGGCCTCTATCTTTTATCTCTGATGTAAGTGGTGACTGTTTCATCCCATTGGTGGGAGCACAACCTCACTTGACTGGATTGGCATTCTGATGCAATTGGCTAATGAGTATAAAGAGGAAGGAGGGGACTTGGAAAATACGAGCCCTTTTATTTTTTGAGGGGGGTGTTCAAGGCAGGATTTCTCTGTGGCTTTGGAGGCTGTCCTGGAACTAGCTCTTGTAGACCAGGCTGATCTCGAACTCACAGAGATCCACCTGCCTTTGCTGGGATTAAGGGCGACTGCCACCACCACCCAGGCCCCGAGTATGACTCTTTGTTAGGCTAACTACCTCGGTAGGAAAACACAAAACACAAGTGTTTCTCATACCCATCTGTACTGGCTGGTTTTGTGTGTCAATCTGACACAAGCTAGAGTGATCATAGGGGAAGGAGCCTCAGCTGAGAAAAAGCCTCCTTGATATGCAGCTGGAGGGCAGTTTCTCATTAGTGATTGTCTTAGGGTTTCTATTGCTGTGTGTGTGTGTGTGTGTGTGTGTGTGTGAGAGAGAGAGAGAGAGAGAGAGAGAGAGAGAGAGACAGACAGAGAGACAGACAGACAGACACACAGACAGACAGACACACAGACACACAGAGACAGAGTGAGACAGAAAGAGAGGGAGGGAGAGAGAGAGACAGAGAGAGAGACAGAGACAGACAGAGACAGACAGACAGAGAGAGAGAGAGAAGGAAGCACTTATGCAGATGACCTGTGAAGGGTCAAGCCACTGGGGACCTCAGCTTTTGCATATTGGGCCTGTCGCAGCTCTTTAGCCCACTTCCGTTCTCAGGAGTATTTCTCTCTCTATTTTTAAAGATTTATTTAGTATTTGTTACGTTTGTTTACATAAGTTTACATGTACTAGGAGGCCAATTCCCTTGGAACGATAGTTACAGGCAGTGTGAACTGCCTTATGGATGCTTGAGAGCCAAATCCCAGTCCTTGGCAAAGACATTAAGTGTTCTTAACCTCTGAGCCATCTCTCCAGGCTGCTTTTCTTTTCTCATGAAAACATCTCTATTTCTATCATTATCTAAGTGTCTCTGGTCCAGTTCCTTATTCTGAGACATGGGAACCTGGAAATCTCAGCAGATGCACCTCTGGACTCAGACCCACACCTGTAACAATGTGACTAGCTGTGTCAGCTCCTGGTGCCAACCTTCACCTCTGAGGCCTTGTATCCTCAGAATCTGAGCTAAAATACCCCTCCTCCCTCTCCCCTTCTCTTCCTCCCTCCCCCTTTCCCTCCCCACTCCCTCCCTGCTTTCCCTTCCCTTCCATCTTTCCCTTCCCTCCCTTCCTCCCCTCCTCTTGTTTTCTTTGGGTACTTTGGGCCACGGCAACAAGAAAAGCAATTGCCATAGAGTAAGGCTGCAGGCTTGTGGATTTGAGTTGCTGGAGGCAATGACAGGTAGAACTTCTCTGTGTGTGTGCCCAGCTGGCTGCAAAGGTGGGTGTGGTTCTGTAAATAAAAGCAGCCACAGTCTAGATGGAGACAGGCCCTTGTCTCCTCCACCCCTAGAGAAGTGGATTCACCTTAATGTATGGCACTTTTGTTTCCCAGAATTCCCGTCCCCTAGGACAGTCCCTGAGAACAGAGCCCCTAAGAGGTTGGCCTGAGATCTGATTATTTCTTTGTCTTCCATGTCTTTCTCACAGATGCTGACTAGTTTGTTTGGGTTTTGTTTTGTTGTTGTTTTTATCAACTTGACACAAGCCAGGGTGCTCTGGAAAGAGGGACATCAACTGAAAATAATGTTCTCCATCAAATTGGCCTGCAGGCAAGCCTGTGGAGCATTTTCTTATTAATAAGTAATGTGGGAAGGGCCAGCCAACTGAGGGCAGGGTCACCCCTGGGCAGGTGATCCTGGGTGCTATAAGAAAACAGGCTGAGCCGGGCGTTGGTGGCACACGCCTTTAATCCCAGCACTCGGGAGGCAGAGGCAGGTGGATCTCTGTGAGTTCGAGACCAGCCTGGACTACCAAGAGAGTTCCAGGACAGCCTCCAAAGCCACAGAGAAACCCTGTCTCGAAAAACCAAAAAAAAAAAAAAAAAAAAAAAAACAGGCTGAACAAGCCATGGAGAGCAAGCCAGTTCCTCCGTGGCCTCTGCTCCAGTCCCTGCCCCCAGGTTTCTGCCTTGAATTCCTGTCCTGACTTTCCTTGATGATGGTATGTGATGTAGAAATATGAGCCAAAAAAACCCTTTTCTCCCCAACAAGTTGCTTGGTTTTGTTTTTTGGTTTTGTGGGGAGTTTTTGTTTTGTTTTGTTTGGCTTGGTTTGGTTTTTGAGACAGGATAACTCTGTGTAGCCCTGGTTGTCCTGAAACTTGCTGGGTAGACCAGGCTGGCCTTGAACTCACAGAGATCCACCTGCCTCTGCCTCCTGAGTACTGGGATTAAAGGCATGCATCACCATTGCCCGGTTTATTATAGTTTTTATCACAGCAATAAAAACCTAGCAAAGACACTGACCAAAGTCTATCTTAAACTGTAAGCGTTTCAGACGGATTGGGATGGATCAGTAGTCTGGCACTCAGGAGTCACCGAATACTGAGTGTTACAGAGTTCAGATAGAAAGGTATCCTGGAGCTCGGGAGCCAAGGTCTACCACAGGTTGCAGTAAGCTTAGCAGCTTACAGCCTTGCCTCAGGGAAAGGCTTCTCCGGTGTATCAGCTCCGCTCCAGCAGGACAGGGTCTTCCAGCTGGGGTTGTTCACCCAGTGTAGCAGTTTTGCTCAGCAGGTTTCTCTAGCGAAGTTGCTACAGTTCAGCTCTGCTCCCAGAGGGCAGAACGCTGAGAGCAGAGTGTAACTCCACTCTGCCAAGGGAAGGTTTGCCCAGCAAAAGTGTTACAGGCCTGCTCGCTCTGCTCTTCACCCAAAGCTCATCAAAGGGGTTTATTAGAAGGAAGCAGCTGGACCGGTCAAGCAGAACATACATAGGGTTTATATAGGGATTCTTGGGGGCGGGGCAAGTTTTTCCAGGGTAGGGATTGGTCCGGTTTCAGTGCTGAGCTCAGGTTAGCTAGAGCTCTGTTCAGGAATTGGTTAGTTTTCTGCACAGGATTAATGTCAGATTTGGCTCTGGTTTCAGGGCCAAAGTATGTTTCTTTCTCTGGTCCTTTTTAGCCTTTTGGCTCCAATTCTAGGGCCAGGGTGCATTTCTTTCACTGGCTCTGATTCCAGGGAAAGTGTGTTCCTTTGGCACTGGTTTCAAGGTCAGGATACATTTCTTTGGTTCTAGTTGCAGGGCCAAAGTGTGTTTCTTTGACTGGTCCCTTTTCCCTACATAAACCCCCTAACGCTTTGGGGTCCCTTGTTCTTTTCTTAAAGCTTTACTCCCCATCACAAGGATGTCCTTCATGGTGGCTGACTCACACACCCCATCTCAAGCTGTATGTCTCTTGCTCCCCACCACATGGATGCCTGCCACCAGGTGGCTGAGCTGTCCACTGCCCAGCTCAAGTTGCATGGCTCTTGTCCCTTTTCTTCTCCATTCCCCTCCTCTCTTCCAGGCAGCTTCGAGATTTTTTATGGCTCACCTGCCCTGGGGTTTTCTTTCCTGAACTCTGTCCTCAGCTTTGTTATGCCCAGCCCGCAAGACTTCCAGAGAGACCACCCAGGAGCTGACTCCCCCGAATGCAAGCACAAGGGTTCTTTATTCAAGCCTAGGCAGCAGCTGCAGGAGGCCCTGAGCCTTGTGAGCAAGGGGTTTATAAAGACTAAAACCACAGAACAGGGTAAGGGGTACCAGTTCAAAGCTGATTGGTCGGGGTGCCTAGAGAAACTTGGGCAATTTCCAAAGGTTAATCTTTGGCAGGATACGTGTCCATAGAAGTTGTGTTGTGACTCTGTTGAGTAGCCCGGGTATCTGTTCTTCTTGACGGCCTGCTTTTCATGGAACCGGATGAGTGATGTGAACAGGTCTGCACAGGCTATGGGGTGAAGATCCCATACTCTATTTCCGGCCCTCTTTTCTAAAATGGTCCTGGTTTTGGTCCCTCAAGCTTCCACGTGTGTGTTCCTAAATTCTTTTATTAATGAGTAAGAACCCTCGGAAGGAACACTGACTCCCCAGGTGCCACATGCTGGCTCGGCTGGGACCCCAAGATTCTCACTAACACATCTTTCCTGCCTTTTAATTAGTTGGCAGGGGGAATGGACCCATTCCTGTACCCCTAGCTGACAACAGTTCTGCGGGCCGCCTGGGGCTACAAGGCTTCTGGCATAGGCTAGCCTCAGACCCCTGCTTCTACTCAAATTACAGGAATTTATACACATGTGCCGTCGTATGTGGTCTGCACGTTCGTTGTTTTTTCCTTTTTTTTTTTTAAGATTTATTTATCACATATACAGTGTTCTGCCTACATGCCAGAAGAGGGCACCAGATTGAATTGTAGATGGCTGTGAGCCACCATGTGGGTGCTGGGAATTGAATGACCTCTGAAAGAGTAGTCAGTGCTCTTAACCGCTGAGCCATCTCTCCATCCCTGCACGTTCATTGTTTAATCTAGGCAAACTGGTTACGTTTCCAAAAGACCTTCTACTGGAGCTACAACTCGCTTCTCTGTAACCAGTCGCCGGATAGCAGCACCTTCCGGCCCCATACTCCAAAGTCACCTCCACGGTCCGCCGCCTCGACTCTCGCCTCTCCTTCCTACGGGGCCTGCGAAAAGTCCAAGGGAATGGGGCAGCACGGACTGACATTAGAGTCGCACACGTACGAACCCTGCCTCCCAGCAGCCCCTTCCTCCCCTGGCGTCCGAGTTCCCCGTCACCGGCCTCCCCTTTACAAGAAGCCTGTACTCAACGAAGAGGGAGCCCGCCGGGAAAGAGCGGAGGACGTGGCTTCCGGCCGACTTTGCGCGACTGCATCGCTTCCGGCGGCGCGCCGGTGACGTAAGCGGGCGCGCCGGTGACGTATGCGGGCGCGCCGGGCCGCGTGGAGGTGCTTCGGCGGATGGAGGTCAGCGAGGGTGGTCGCTGCGCTCGTCTCGCGTCGGCCGTGGAGAGACTGGATTACTGACGTGGGTACCCGAGACCGGAAGGGTGGCTGGGCAGGGCAGCAGTCAGTAGGGGCCGGCGGGGCTACTGTGTGTCGGGGGAACGGGGCTTTGGACTCGGCGACCCAAGGGCGCTGGCCGCTCACCGCGCACGCGCCCCGCTGCCCGAGTTGGCCACGAGGCCTAGTCGGAAGCGCTGCGCCACCCGCAGTGACCCTTGGTGTTCCCTGCCAGTAGGTTCTCGTGGTTCTGCATTTTAAGTTTCAGGGTTGATATTCACCTAAACGCAGATTTGATTTAAATTGCTCCCTTAGAGATGTCTTAGAAATCAGTAAGGTTTGCCAGCGCTTCCTCACTGTCTGGGTTCGGTGGATATTGGACTTGGGGCAAATTTCCCTCTTCCGAGCCATATTTATTTTACAGCTGCACATGTGACAAAGTAACCTGGTCATATATGCCTGATTCCCGGAAACAAAAAAAAATTAAGGTGTTTTCTGCTTTGGTTGAAGTATAGTCCAGTAATTTGCCCCACCTGGTTCCTGTCCCACTGTAGGGAACAAGACTGGGCAGAATTGTTGAAAGAGGCTTGGATATGTAGCGTGTTCTCGATGAAGGTAAGGTTTTGCAGGACTTGGAAAGGGGCAGTGTGTTCTGCCGTGCCCTGTGGTTATGGAGGGTGGTCTGGCCGTGTGGGATGTTAGTGCAAAGCCTTACACTGCGGGGATTGGATAAAAACTGGGAAGGTGACCCGGTGGTGTTAGGGGCTTTTGCTTTTAAAAGTTTCGGGGTGTGGCTCAGTTGGAAGTGCATGCTTAGTGCTCATAAAACCAGGTGTGGTAGGATGCCTGTCATCTTAACCCTTGGGGAGGCGGGAGGAGTTCAAGGTCATCCTCAGCTATGTCAGATAACTGTAGCCAGCCTGGGCTATGTGAAATTTGTCTTTAAAAGAGAGAAAAAAGCTGGGCGTTGGTGGCGCACGCCTTTAATCCCAGCACCCGGGAGGCAGAGGCAGGCGGATCTCTGTAAGTTCAAGACCAGCCTGGACTACCAAGCGAGTTCCAGGACAGCCTCCAAAGCCACAGAGAAACCATGTCTCGAAAAACCAAAAAAAAAAAGAGAGAGAGAGAGAAAAATTTATTTGCATGTCCCTGTGTGGGCATGGACACGCATGCAGTTGCCCACAGAGGCCCAGAAAGAGTTAGATCCCTGGAGCTTACGTTACAGACAGTTGTGAGTCACTGGGGAAGCTGGGGACTGAATTTTGGTTATCTGGAAATCACAAAATGCTGTTAACTACCAAGCCATCTCTCCTGCGACACACACACCTCTCCCAAAAAAAAACAAAAGTTAAGGGATGGTGGTGGCTTTTTTTTTTTCCAGGTTGATAAATGAGGCAGCCTATCCATATCTAACACCTGTACCAGTAGTGTTTACAGATTTTCTCAGTCTCAGAAGTTTCAGGAGCCTGTGTTATATATCCTAGGTTTCCCAGAACTATTCTTACTTAGAATGTCCTGTCATGTTTCTTTAAGCCAATAATTTTTGATCCTGGATACTTCTGAAGTTAAAAACAAATAACCTAGCTCTGTGCAAAACTCACATGTCCAGATTTGCATCTAGAAGCATTGAGTGGGACCCGGGGCTTTTGAGTGAATTTTGAAGTGCAGCTGGGACTGGGACCTCCCAGGCTGGAGTGCTGAGCTGTGGTGTCTGACAGAAACTTAGGACTTGTGCTTCACAAAGTGCTGCCTCAGGTGTGATGGGTGTCCAGATCAGGGAAAGACTGAGGCCAGGTGTATAGGATAGCTGTGACTTCGTGTCGCTGTCATGATTTTCTTCTAGGTTTATGTGATGCTGCCCTCTCTTTCCAGGACTTTGGAATCACTTGCTAGGAGTCCTCCCACCCTCCCTCCCTGGGCATCATGGCTGTTCGCCTGATGAAAAGGTGCACGTGCCTGCTGAGGGAAGCTACCCGCCTAGTCCCCACCATTGCTCCAGTTGGCCGAGTGAGACTTGCTGGGGTGGCATGTAAGACTTTGACCTCCTCAGTCAGTTCCCCATCCTCGGGTTCCTTGACAGAGCTGTTGGGAAAAGAGCAAGTGTTTACTCCCTACCCAAAGCACCAAGAGGTAGACTGCCTTATTGAGAAAGCCACCAGGCCAGAGGAGCTGCTGGAACTGCTAGGTGGCGGTCATAGGCTGCACCACAATCACGCAGCTGTCATACTCATCCGGCTGTCTTATCTGCTGTCTGAGAAGCCAAAGGAGAAGGCCTTGCTTGTAGAGGATGCTCGCTTTCAGGAACTTCTCAGTCGGGTTGACAGTCAGGTGAGCACCAACATGTTCCCTGGGGGTGTGAGGAAAATATATCCCCTCTCCTTTCTCTTCAGGTCTTTGGAAACGTTGCAAGGAGGCCATCTCTCTCCCTTACCAGCTGTAAACGGGTCCTGGCTTTTCTTATTCTAGTTTTCAAATAATTGCTTTTTGCTGATCCTGCTAGGAGCCTGTTATGTAAAAGTTTAAGTGAAGACAGGCAACCCAACACCTGGTACTAGAAGGACCAGAGATGAGCCTGGCTGCTTTTTCCTCAACAGCAGAGCTTTGGCTTACATCCCTGAACCTAGAGCTCAGGATGAGCATGAGGAAAAGAAAGGCCTGTTTGCATGGTTCTGTAGCAGTTATAGCCAAACTGTGCCCCAGTGAGGAAAGATGCCTACACAAAGAGCTTGCCTGGATTCCGTCAGTGCAAACCTGCTCTGGCTGAACTGGCCCTCACCACTAGTGTCAGTGATACAGAAAGAAGGGTTGGGCTAGGTGCTTTAAAAGCTTCGGGTTTTTAAACCACTATAATTAAAATTGTGCCCTTTGTTTTTTTTCGAGACAAGGTTTCTCTGTAGGGCCCTGGCTGTCCTGGAGCTCACTCTGTAGAACCAGGCTGGTCTTGAACTCACAGAGATCCTCCTGCCTCTGCCTCCCAAGTGCTGGAATTAAAGGCGTGCGCTACCTACATCCTGCTCCCTTCTTACACTCTTGTAGTTAAGCGTGTTACTTAGCTTGCACTGTGTGTATTCATGTCAGATTCAAGTGTTTCTTCCTGCATATGTAGTGCATAAACTTAATAAGTCTTAGTGAGATTTTAATTCTAGTTGTGGTGGGGTGTTTTGTTTATTTTTTGTTTAAGTCTTAAGATACAAGACTCAGTGTTGGAACAGAATAGTAAGACAGTAACAATAGAAACAAAGGGAGTTAGGTGGTCTTAAATGGTTATTTTGTTCATGTCCATATGACATGTGGAATTCAGAGTACTCCTTACAGGAGTCAGCTCTTCCATCAGGCTGGGCTCTAAGCACTTGACCCTCCAAATTACCTTCCCAGCCCTGAAACCAAGTCTTCACAATGCAAATGATGATGGGTTTACTGCTGTCAAGGTTTGAACACTGCACCTCTAAACTCTGCCTGCTTGCGAATACAGGTAGTCTCCTGGGGGGGACCCCATTTTGTGTCCACAGTATCTGAGTGGGCTTCCTTGGTGCATGGCATCTCTCCATACTCCCCAAAGCACCAACATCCCTTGAGGTTCTGTCTCTGTCCACTGTGTGTATATACAAAGGTGAGCTTTCCAGGAGGCTGAGGAGATAACAAGCACCCAGACCCCAGGGCAAGGATGACAGCGTGCTTGCCCTTCCTCGGCCCTGCAGCAGCAGCTTCTCCATGCCCAGCTCAGCCCCTTCCATTGTGCCCTCACTCCCCTTGCAGAGACTGGGCACAAGTAATGGCAGCCGTCATCATGGCACCATTTACTCTCCTCCCTGATGGTGGGCTCTCAGCCCAGTTGGCCTTTCCCATAGCTCCTAAGACCTGAGACACTGTACAGAAGAATCGACTTCTTCAGAAAAGAGACGGTGGTGGCAGTAGGCAAACAGGATCTGGACTCGATTGTTCCTGAAATTTGGGGACAGCTCCATGTCACCAGATTAAAAAGTGGAAGGGTTAGAGCTTCTCAGATTCAAAATAATAATTTTCTGAAGAAAAGCCATAGTTTTTTTGTTTTTTAATTAGAAACAAGCTTGTTTCACATGTCAATCCCAGCTCCCTCTCCCCATCCCCACTCCTATCCCCAGGGAAGGTGAGGCCCTCCATGGGGGATCTCCGGAGTCTCATTTCGTCCAGGGCAGGGCCTAGGCCCTCCCCCAGCCATAGTTTTTTAATACCTAAAGATGTGTCATTGTGAGTAGAAAATAAGACTAACAAAACTGGCCAGAGAAAGCTGGTGCTGTTGGAGACAAGGCCTCTGGGCCCCTGCTCTCTGGCCTCTATGTCCTGTGCTTGTAGCTCAGGTATGCACAGCCGGTGTCTAACCCAGGACTGGATACTGGGGACTGCCATCTGTTCAGTCAGCCACATAAGCTTGACTCTGTCTGTAGTAAAGAGTGGCTGCTAACCTTAGAACTCTTCCTTATGATTGCAAACTCCCCAGGCCTCTACCTCTAGTACAAGCACTAGGTTCTTTGGAGGCTGCAGGAGCAGGCTTGGGAAACGGGCCCTGTGAGGCTGGGGTGGAAGTAGCTGCTCTGAATGGTGTGTTACTCTGGAACTGGCCTCATACTGTCTTTGTCTATTCCTGTGCAGGTAGCTTCGATCTGGCACGGGACCCTCGTGAAGCTGCTGAGGAGCATGTATACACTAATGGTTCCTCAGACCTCCAAGGAACTGCAGTCCGTGGAACAGGAAGTGCGCTGGCGTCTGCGGAGGCTCAAGTACAAGCACTTGGTGTTCCTGGTTGAGTCCTGTGCCTCCTACATGCGGGAGCAGCACTCCCAGGACCTGCTGGCTGAGCTGCTGATGCATCTGGAGAGGCGTTGGACAGAGATTGGTGACAGCCGGACAGTGGTGACCATGATGATGAAGGCAGGGCACCTCTCAGAGTCGCTGATGAACCGCCTGGAAGACAAGGTATGGGGCTGAGAGCAAACCACCTGGGACATTGGGTCTGTTCCATGGGTGACAGTCTTCTACAGAAAGGGAGTAAGGTTGGAGCCCTGGAAGCCTCTGTCTGGTCTCAGGCATCATGTGGGGAGGGGCTCTGGCTGCACAAATCCAACACCTAAGCAAGTATCTTAAGAAGTAGGTGTGAGCCGGGCGGTGGTGGTGCACGCCTTTAATCCCAGCACTCAGGAAACAGAGGCAGGCGGATCTCTGTGAGTTTGAGACAGGGCTGGACCGACAGCCTCCAAAACAATACAGAGAAACCCTGTCTTCGTAAAACCAAAAAAAAAAAAAAAAAAAAAAGTAAGTGTGTCAGGCAGCTCTTGGCATCAGCACATGAGTCCTTATTAGACCCAAGCTATCACAAGAACAGTTCAGCTTCTAGATAAGACTCCTAGAGGTGGCTCTGTCCACTGCCCTTCCATGTTGCCGTCTCTGCAGTCAAGTCAAATTCAGTTCCTGTCGTCTTATGATGGGAGCTGGCCCAGATGGCTGCTACAGCAAGCTCTGCTGCTCATGGGCCCTATGTCCCCTGCACTGGGACCTAGGGATAAGTTTGGCTGCAGACATTGTACTCCAGGCTCTAGAGTCCCTGGGGTGGGGAAAAGGCTGGTTCTGTGCAGCCGGGCCTGTGTTGAGTCAGCTCAGGCCCAGTTGCTATCTCACAGGGGCTGCACTGGATGGGACCCCTGCCCCCAGCTCATCCCAACCACCTCAGCTGATCCCTGCGCGGCTGTGGTTGACAGTGCCTGGAGCTGGTGGAGCAGTTTGGCCCTGATGAGCTGCGGAAGGTGTTAGTGACGCTGGCAGCACAGAGCCGGCGGTCGGTGCCCCTGCTGCGGGCCATCTCCTACCACCTGGTACAGAAGCCCTTCCCACTGACGAAAGGCATGCTCCTGGACCTGGCCTATGCCTATGGTGAGAAGACAGCCCTGGCCGTGGGCATCTGCAGCCGTGTCAAATTCAGTGCCTGTCCCAATGGTGACAAGCACTGGCCCGGAAGGCTGCCATAGAAACTGTGACTCCTGAGCCCTGTTCCCCATGCTTGGTTCGGGGATAAAGTCAGTCACAGACACCAAGCCCCCTAGATGTCCAGTCTGAGATGGGGTGGGACAGTGGGTGTGGGCACTGAGCTCCCCACAGCTAATGTCTGGCGTCTGCCCCATCCCAAAGGTAAACTCAATTTCCACCAGACCCAAGTGTCCCAGCGCCTGGCTGCTGACCTCCTGCCCTTCGTTCCCAGCATGACATTTGGTGAGGTGGCCCGCTGCGCCAAGTCCTTTGCCTTGCTCAAGTGGTTGAACCTGCCCTTGTTTGAAGCCTTTACTCAGGTGAGTGAGGACCAATTCTAGGGCTCTCTGGGCAGAGGCTCTACAGGTGCCAGTTGGGAATTGCTGCTTTAATTATGGAAGCAAAACCAAGCTGAATACTCCTTTGTGGGTGGTAAATAGATTTCTTATTTGATTGGGAAGGTGATGTCTAATGGTGGCGAAAATACGTAAGCAGTTGCCTCTTGTTCCTGAATGTCCTGTTTCCATTCATCTGGGCAGCTACTGACCATCCGAGTGGAATTACAAAAACATGGTGCCTGTGCGCACTTGTCCCTAGAGCCGTCAGTTCCTTAAGCAACTGTCAGGGAGTTGGATTCTGGGAAGCTGCTACTGGGTGAACAGTCAGGGCTCTCAGGAGGGGAGGAGACAGCTGCTGTGAGGGCACTCACTCTGTCACTCTGATGACCTAGCACCTCCTGAGCAGAGTCCAGGACGTCTCCCTGTCCCACGTGAGCAGCATTCTTCTCGCTTTCGCCCGCCTCAACTTTCGTCCTGAGCAAGAAGATGAGTTCTTCAACTTGGTATGCACGCTGAACTACCACTTTGCTGACCCACTAACTTCTGGCTCAAGCCACTGTGTAGGAGTGCCAGGGGTGGGGAGTGGGCACAGCATTTGGCATGGGAGGATAGGGAACATCCCAGAGACCGTTGGAGAACAGGCAGACTATTGGGGCATTGTCCGCTATGTTTCTGGGAGCAGCCAGCCAGGGCAACAGCTCTATCACCACCTAGGTGCTCTGGCCAAAAATTCTTCATCGCAGTGCCAGCTGGGGAGCGTCACAAGGAATTTGAGGCCTTGGGTCCCTGCTGGTGGCTAGGATATGGGAGACCTAGTTAAATAGCACCAGGGTACTGGACTCTAGGCATGAGGGAGGGCCCTTGTATAGGAGCCTGGGGTTGGTGCAGTCCTTACCAGTCAGGATATTGGTCTTGCTCTCCGGTAGCTACCTCTGGCTCCAGTATGACAGGTTGAGACCAGGGCTTGGCTGCTGGCTTTTTCAGGGTGTTGCAGTCCCTGGGCTGAGCTTGCTTTCTCCATTGTCCTCTCTTGCCCAGGTGCATGAGAAGCTGGACTCTGTCCTGGGGAGCCTGGAGCCAACCCTGCAGGTGGACCTAGTGTGGGCACTCTGTGTGCTGCAGCAGGTTCGAGAAGCAGAGCTACAAACAGTTCTCCATCCTGGACTTCACACACAATTTCTAGGTAAGGATTCTGCCCTGCACACAACATAAGCATGCACAGTCTACTGTAACATGGAAGCTTTCTGGTCTGCCAGTCAGGGAAGAAACTGGAGCAGAGACAGGAGAAGGCCGGAGCACACAATGCACACCCCCATGATCTTTTCTAACAACTCCCTGACGTTGGCCTACAGATCTTAACTTTGGAGCCACTGCCTTTCCATGAAGTCTCTGTGACCCGCGTCTGCATCTGCTGCTGTACATCAGCCCACTTTTTTCCTCATCCCCCAGGGAGCAAGTCTCCAAAGGACCAGAGTACTTTCCAGAAGTTGGTCCACATCAACACCACCGCCCTGCTGGAGCACCCTGAATATAAAGGCCCCTTCCTGCCAGCCTCGACTGTATCCCTCAGTCCCTCATCCATTAGCAAGCAGATGACACCTCTACAGAAGGAGCTGCAGGAGACTCTGAAGGCGCTGCTGGGGAGCACTGACCAGGGCAGCCTGGAGGTGGTCACCCAGTATGGCTGGGTGCTGGGTAAGGGTTCCTTTCTGCTAGGAAAGGGTCTGAACCTAACAGGCCCTTTGTAACCTGCATGGCTCAGCAAGGACCCAGAGAGTGTCAGGCTCCTCCCGACAGTGCTTGATTGGGTGCATTGCAGGGTTCCTAGGGAGTCACCTGTGGGTTCTCCTCCCATCCCTTCTCCCCCGCCCCCAGATGCAGAGGTGCTCCTGGATGCAGATGGCCACTTTCTGCCCCTGAGAGATTTTGTTGCTCCTCACCTTGCCCAGCCAGTCGGGAACCAGCCACTGCCCCCAGGAGCTAAGAGGTAGGTGACCAGGGATCACTGGTCGTGGTCCTGGTAAAGGTGTAGCAGTACCGCTATTCTTGAATGTCTTTTAACTCCTGTCTTAATCTGAGAGCATCCCTTTAAGCACTCTTGCCTCCTGCTAGGATCGCTTTCCTGCGCTGGGAGTTCCCTAACTTCAACAGCCGAAGCAAGGACTTGTTGGGCCGTTTTGTCCTGGCCCGTCGACATGTGCTGGCTGCAGGCTTCCTGGTAGTAGATGTGAGTACCTGCTGGGCAAGGGATCGCTGCAGACGGAGAAACCCGAACCTGTTTAAAGAGCTGGGACATAGACAGGTGCCCAGTCTGGGCCCTACGTCAGGCACTTCTCTCCACACCCCACACAGAGGCTTAGCGTGCCTCCTGGAGTTGCACTGAGTGCAGCATAGCCGTGGGAGCCATTGCTGCCTGTGGAGCCCTGACACAGGTACCTCAGTGCTCCCTCCCATCATGTGTGAAGTGCTGAGTTTCCTGCAGAGAGAAGGCCCAGAGCTTTCCAGGCTATATAGAGTTTCTGTCACATTTTCTTCAGGAGCTCTGCTGGGATCTATCTGGCTTGTGATCTCTTTGCCCTGCTAGAGCCAAGACCTCTCCCCATGTGCTTAAGCTCCCCCTGTGTTCTCCTGAGGACAAAGGCTGGGTACTTAAATCTGTCAGGCAGCAGCACTAACAGTGGGAGGAGCTACTTGCCCAGCAAAGGCAGGAAAGGACTCCACAGTCCATGTGACCGACTCCACTACCTTCTTCCAGGTCCCATATTATGAGTGGCTGGATCTCAAGTCTGGATGGCAGAAAGGTGCCTACCTCAAGGACAAGATGCGCAAAGCGGTGGCTGAGGAGCTAGCCAAGTGACGGCTCGCACCACTTCAGACTGCTTCCAGTGACCCAGTGAGTGCTGGGCAAGCCGGCGTTGTAGCCCTTCCCAGAATGAACCATCCCTATAGGACCTTGGTCAGAGCAGTGGATGGCCAGCAGCTCCAAGGGACAGGTGGCCCTAATAAATCTTGGTGGACGTCAGGTGCCTTCCTAGGCTCTGTATTTATTGCCTCCATTTTGAACACGCAGCCCCTGGCTCTTCAGGATTCTACCCAGTGTCCTCTCCTCCCCCAATAGTGCCTGTGTGATGCAGCACAGCAGAGGAGGGCTGACCCCAGACAGAGCCTGGGGCTTGATAGGGAGGGTCCTAGACACTTGGATTCTAGAGTGAGGAGCTTGCCACGAAACTAGACTTGTTGGTTCTGAGAGGTTCCCTCCTGTGCCCCTGTGACTAGTGTCTCATGGTGACAGATGGTGTGGAGGCATTGGGAAAAAGGAAAAGTCCGCTTGGCTGAGACCACAAGATCCATAGCCAGACTCTGACTCTCATGACTGACTACCTTAACCACAGCCAACTCAGGAGCCACCAGCTCACGATGGAGGCCTGAGCCCTTGATGCTGTGAAGAGCAGCGGAGTGTCTGCAGGAGATCCCACAGACAAGGCTTGCCCAGAGAGTTGGAGTCTTAAGACAAAGGAGGCTCTTACCCTATTCTGTACATACCTCCCAAAGCATCAGTCTGAGCCCTCTGGCTTGACTCTTGTGTTATCCTGCACACTCCTGCTGTTACCACGGAGGTGAAGGGGATGAGCGGGCTTGAGGAAAGGAGTAGCTGACCACAGCTTGTCTGAGCTGACATATAATGCTGACAAGCCAGGTGGGGTGGCTTCTTGGCATGTGAGGAAATAAAGGTTTGTCCTGCTTACCACATGGGCCACTGGCTTTTCTTTTGAGCTACCGTGATCACCAGTCAAGTCAATGCTCAGATGGCTTCCTCTGATAGGACTGCTGCAAAGTCACTCCAGTGTTGACATAGGCAGAAGTCCGCTGGAGGATGCTCTTGTCAACACAGGATCCACAAGACACCTGGCTCAGATTAACTATAGCCACCAGAGTTACTGTCTTCATCTAAGAATGTTACATGGAGGAGACAGGATATATATAAACTTTGGGAGTTGGGTTTAGGGAAATTGAATTTTCTAAGTTATCTCATTTTGTGACCACTAACCTACCATCTTCCTGGTGGTGTGTTTCTATTTGTTGTTAAGGCTTCTTTTTCATTAGTGTGGCTATATAGTATGTGTGGAGCGTCAAGTCCCCTGGAGCTGTGTGGATGCTGAGAGACAGAGCTACAGTGGGTCCCCTGCCCGAGCAGCAGCTGCTCTGAACTGCTGAGCTCTGTGGCTCTGCTACCTTGGTGGTTCTTGCAGGTAGCTTGTGATACGGATTTAGGATTCATGCCCCTGGTTACTGTCATCTTTCTGAACACCTTTTGAGTGTTGGTCACCTGTCTGTTTTCTGCAGTGCCCCAGCTCTTGGTGTTGAGGTGGTGTTTATGGTGGTGTGTTTGGCTGTTCCCAGTGCTAGGGATCAAACCCAGCATCTGTGCTCGGTAAATGCCTGCTGCTGAGCTCCACTTCAGCCTCTGTTTGTCTTATGAATTATAGATAGTAGTCCTCCACTGACTGCGCAATTTGCGAATATTTTCTCCCAATCAATAGTTTGTGGTTTTTTAGATCTTTTAACTGGGCTCTTTACAGAGCATAAAATTTCCATTAGATTCAGTTTTATAGGTTATGGTTCTGTGTCAAATCTTAAGAATTGTGCCTAGGGGTCTGGAGAGAGCTGTTAAGAGCACTGGTGGATCTTCCAAGGGAACCGGGTTCGATTCCCAGCACCCACATGACAGTTCACATCTGTCTATAACCTTCACACAGATACATGCAAGCAAAGCCACAATGTACATGATAGAATAAAAATAGCCAGGCAGTGGTGAATATACCTTTAATCTCAGCACTCAGGATGCAGAGGCAGGCAGATCTCTGTGAGTTCAAGGACAGCCTGTCTCAAAAAAAAACAAATTTTCAAAACAAAGAATTGTGTCTAGCCCTAAGACTCCTGAAATTCTTTGTATACTAGTACTCACATGCACCTGAGTGTGCAGGCCAGAGGCCAACCTGAGTGTTGTTGCTCTGTATAGCCTTGACTGTCCAAGGAACTCTGTCTAGACCAGGCTGTCCTCTAATTCAGAGGATCCACCAGCCTCTGCCTTCCAAGTGCCACCACCACCCAGCTTTGTTTTTGTTTTTTTATTTTCTCTCTGACCTGGTTCCTGCCAGGGTCCCTCCTGTCTATGCCTTGCTATAGCTGGAAGCACAAGTTTGCACTCAGGTGTCAGACTCAGGTCCTCAAGCACGCCCCCAATTACCTCTCTTCTCCAGTCTTTGCACTTGTGACACCTAAAATGAATGTTTGGGGGCGTGGCTTCGAACTGTGCAGGTACTCCGGAATCATCTGAGAAGCCGCCTTCCCCACTGATTTTGTATTTGTACTTCTGCAAAAAGTTGGCATATTTCCGAGTTTTTGTGCTGTTGATGAGCTTTCTGTCCGTGTGGCAGTGTCACATACAATCACCATAGATCTGGAGAATTCCTGGAGAGGCACTTGTCTTCAGTCCAGCTTGGAAGACTGAAGATGCTGAGTTCCATTGTCAGTGGAAGGCAGCAAGGTACGGATGCAGACGGACAAACTGCACTGCTTTCCCTGAGGCTAGTGTGGGTACACCGCTCCTTCCATGGCTTCTGCTTGGTCTTTGGCCTCTGGTATCTGGTAAGCCACCATGCATGCCACACATCTCAATGAGTGGGGCTAGGGACGTCTCACCCTTGTAGAATTTCCTCAGGTTTTTTAGTATGGTTAATGATGGTGAAGGCACAGGTGATTGACTTGTGAATGACTCAGATCTTGGAAAGCGTGGATGCCAGGCCTCCTATCACTTTAGTTGGGTACAACTGGGGCATCGGTCTTTACCCACTCTGGAAAAGGGTCTTTCCCAGCCCCAGAATTGCTTCACAATTTGTCTGGGGAATCTTAGTTGGCCCCAGATTCATCCAAGTTGACAACCAAGATTAACCATCGAAAGTAAATGTGTGTGTCTGTGTGTGTGTACAAACTAGACAAACACATCACTCAGAACCCTTGTTTCTGCAACTTACTACATGGCCTTTGGTGGCTTCTGTAACTGCCTTCCTCGACTATCCATTCTGTGCTCACCCTCTGCAAGCACCTCAGCAGGTCTTGATTCTTCCCTTTCATCCCAGAAAGCCCTTTGTCATCCTGCTTGGATTGGGTTGGAACTCCCTGTTGGACTTAATCACGGCAACAACCAAGTCCCCCTGAAAGAACCTCCTGTACTCCAGACACCCTTAATTCCACTTTGGAGAAACATTCCAATTTCCCCCAGGGCGGTCAGCATCGACCACACCTCCTAGCACAAGAACTGCATGCTTACCTTTGTTGGGGCTGGGTATTTTTTGGGGGGGGGGGGTATTTTTGAGACATATCTTACTGGATGTCCTGGAACTGACTATATAGACCAGGCTGGCCTCAAACTCAACAGAGATTTGCTTGTCTCTACCTTTCAAGTGCATGTGCTACCTCATCCAGCTAAAACTGCTTTCCTTACCTGGCCCAAAATGGACAGGGAAGCCTCAGCTTACAGTTCACAAAGTGCTTGCAGAGGCACTACCTGTCTCGTCCAAAATGTCTTGGCCTGCAGAGCACAAATTTTTTTTGTCGTGGGTCACTAGGAGTGACTGGGTGGTACCGTTTCCTTTAGTTGCTGGCCCCAGGAATCCTGGTAATAGAAGGATTGGTACCATATGTCGGATGATGAGTCAGAACACATGCAGGCTTCTGGAGGGTCCTGTCTGAGCCCTTGAATTTTGGTTGCGTTTCCGTCCTGTCCTACTTATTCTCTGGTGCACATATGCTCTGCCAACAGGCCCCGAGTAGCTGCTACCTTCAGCTCGCTTGGTCTAATCAGAGTGGTGTCGTTGATGGGGCGGACCAAAAGCAGCTGTGAGCTCTCCCCAGCGGGGCAGAGACACACTGGGGATGGCAGGAGGCTTCTGAAGTCTCAAAGTCTTCTCCAGTGACACAGTTCCACATTGCTTCACAACAGGCCCTACGTCTCACATTGGTTATGTCTGAAACGTGCCCCTGAGTCCTGGTGGGAGACTCTCGAATCCCTGGAGAGGGTGCTAGGGCGAGGGGGGGTTCAGGAGAAGGGTGTTTCTGGAACCATTCCTCATGTGTGCAGTGGAGACTGAAGAAGACTGCAGGCTCCCACCAGACTCCCATCAAACAAGGCAAGGGTTTTGCCTTTTTGTTTAGGTTTTGTTTGTTTGCTGTTGTTTTTGGCTTTTCCAGACAGGGTTTCTCTATGTGGCTTTGGAGCCTGTCCTGGAACTCACTCTGTAGACCAAACTGGTTACTTTTTTTTTTTTCCAAAAATGTATCTTTAATGTATTGTTGGGTTTAGTGCCCCCAAGTTATTATCTGCCTTGTAAAACAAATTACAAAATATGTATTTTTTTTCTGGAAGAAATTTAAACTTGTTAATTTCACTTCAGAATTTTGGTAGAAATTTCCAATTTAGTTTTTTGTGGGTTTCATTTTGTTGTTTGTAGACAGCATGTGACTAGATAGTTCTGACTGGTCTGGCACTCACTTGTGGACTAGGCTGGCCTTGATCTTGGTATGACCCTGCTTCTGCCTCCCAAGAACTGGGATTACGGACATAGCATCACCCCCTGCTTTGTGCATGAATTTTTCTTCCTGCTGTCTTTTTGTTCATCGGTTTCTGTTTTGCATTCATGGTGGCATGGGTATATATTTTGTATCCACTATATTTTTTGTTTTGTTTTGTTTTTCAAGACAGGGTTTCTTTGTGTTGCCTTGACTGTCCTGGAACTCCCTCTGTAGACCAGACTGGCCTAGAACTCACAGAGATCCGCCTGCCTCTGCCTCTTGAGTGCTGGGATTAGAGGCGTGCACCAGCACCTGGTTCCTTTTGTTTTTTTTAGCCAGAGTCTCACTGGTTAGCCCTGGCTGTCCTAGAACTTACTACCAAGCCCTGCTATTAAATACGTTAGTACTGTTTTATAGACTAGGAAAGTGGTTCCATTTTAAGGGATGATCTAAGGACATTCTAAGAATAGCTTAGCCGCCCTGACAATCTGAGTTCAGTCCCTGGGACCAGCATGGTGGGAGGAGACAGCCAACCCATATAAACTTTTCTCTGACCTCCACAATGTCAGAGATGTACACGCACATTGGATCTGGCATGGTGGTGCACACCTTCAATCCCAGCACTCAGAGGCTGGAGGCAGGCAAAGTTGAGGCCAGCCTGGTCTATAGAGCTAGTTCCAGGACAGCAAGGACTACACAGAGAAACCCTGTCTCAAAACACCAATAAATAAATAAAAATTTGAAAAAAAATTCTAACACCTGAAAAGTTCAGTCTTTAAAAAGTCCAGTCTCAGCTGGGCATTGGTGGCGCATGCCTTTAAATCCAGCACGCAGGAGGCAGAGGCAGGCGAATCTCTGTGAGTTTGAGGCCAGCCTGGTCTACAGAGCGAGTTCTCAGACAGCCAGGGCTACACAGAGAAACCCTGTCTCTCTCTCACACACAACTAAAGTCCAGTCTCTTAAGTTTGGGCTCCTGTAAAAATCCAAAATAGTGCACTACCTATTTATTCCAAGAGGGAGAATCAGGGCAAAGCTACAATCAGATCAAAGCAAAACCAACCCCAGCAGTGTCTGTAGTTCAGTGTCTAATGTCTAGAATTCACTGTGATCTGCACTCCAGTAGGCCTTAGCAGTCTGACATCATGAGCTCTGCAGTCCATCGGTTTGTCCCATAGACACAGACCATTCTCCCCACTGCTGGTTCCTTGTTTTTGGTTCGGTTTTGGGGGATTTTCTTGTTTGTTTGCTTGCTTTTTGGGTTTTCAAGACAGTCTTGGCTGTCCTTTGCTCTGTAGCCCAGGCTGGCCTTGGATTTACAGAGATCCGCCTGCCTCTGCCTCCTGTGCTGGGATTAAAGGCATGCCCCACCCCCAGCCACACTGCTGTTCTAGGAGGTCTCACAGACCTGGTGCATCCTCAATACTGTGCTCCCAGCTTGTCAAAGCCACGTGGGATACTCTTACACACACATTACTAAGCTCAGCTGCCAGCTTGAAATTAAGCCTTGACCCAGCTGGACTGTGGCTTCTGCGTGCTGACCCTGAGAAAAACTTCTTGATAGGTTTTACCTCATTGATGCTGGTCTCTCCCTCTCTCTCTCTCTCTCTTTTTTTTTTTTTTTTTTTTTTTTTTTTTTGGTTTTTTGAGACAGGGTTTCCCTGTACTGTTTTGGAGGCTGTCCTGGAACTCGATCTGTAGACCAGGCTGGCCTCGAACTCACAGAGATCCACCTGCCTCTGCCTCCCGAGTGCTGGGATTAAAGGCATGTGTTACCAATGCCCGGCGATGCTGGTCTCTTAACCACAGCTCTTTTTTTTTTTTTCAACCCCAGATAACCATTCATAATTGTCCCAGTAAAGCAAAGGTTTTACTTCAGTGCTGGTCTCTTGTTAAAATCATGGCAGACTCTTCAGTCCCAGCTGACCAGAAACCACAGATTCTTTTTTTTTTTTTTTTTTTTTTTTTTTTGGTTTTTCGAGACAGGGTTTCTCTGTGGCTTTGGAGGCTGTCCTAGAACTAACTCTTGTAGACCAGGCTGGCCTCGAACTCACAGAGATCCGCCTGCCTCTGCCTCCCAAGTGCTGGAAACCACAGATTCTTAATTCAAAATATGATGCAAATAACCCCAGTAGAATCATTGCTTCCTTCTGGAACTTCCCAAGCCAAGCCTCCATCTTCTGTACCTCTCTCATTACTGTCTCCCGAGCTCCTGTATCAGCTCATTAAGCTCTGAGTGTTCAATGGTCCTTTCTAGGCCAAAGGTCCAAACACTTCACAATCCTCCCACAGAACAGCACGGTCAGCCCATCACAGCAACAAACCCATTTTCTGGTACCAGTTGTTGGATTCGTTTGCTTTCTGTTGCTGTGATAAACACCATATCCAAAAGCAACTTGGCTGGGTGGTGGCACACACCTTTAATGCCAGCAGTCAGGAAGCAGAGGCAGGTGGATCTCTGAGCGTGGTCTACAAAGCTGTAGACAGCCAGGGCTCTACAGAGAAACCCTGCCTCAAAAAAAAAAAGAAAAAATGAAAGGAAGGAAAGAAGGAAGGACATTAAAAGGGAAGGCAGACAGGAGGCAACTCGGGAAGGAAGGAAGGAAAGTGCTTGTTGAGCCCACATGTCCTGATCATAGTTGGTCAGGGCAAGAACCCAAGTAGGAGCCGGGCGGTGGTGGCGCACGCCTTTAATCCCAGCACTCAGGAGGCAGAGGTAGGCGGATCTCTGTGAGTTCTAGGCCAGCCTAGTCTACAGAGTGAGTTCCAGGACAGGCTCCAAAACAATGCTGAGAAACCCTGTCTCGAAAAACAAGCCAAAAAAAACAAACAAAAAAAAACAACAAAAAAAAAACAAGTAAGAGCAGAGACAGCAACGGTGGAAGAGAGCTTTGACTGGCTTGCTTTCTCCTACACTGGAGACCGCCCGTCAAGGATGGCACTGCCCACAATGAGCTTGTCCTCCCACATCACCCACTAACCAAGAGATCGCCCACAGACTTCCCACAAGCTATCTGATAGAGGCAGTCTTTCCAGGTTCACTCCCTCCAGATGACTAGCTTAGGTCAAGCTGACATAAAAAAGAAAACCAATTAACTCTACAGCCACTTTGCATGCTGGCTTTTTTACTTTCTTGGTTTTGTTTTTTGTTTTTGAGGGGCAGAATGAAACATGAGGTCCACACTGGTTTCAGATTCACTGTGTAGCTGAGGCTATCCCTAAACTCTGCTCCTTCATCCACCGTGTCCTAAGTGTCTGGCTGTCTTTTCTGGGTGGCATTTTCTTTTGCTGCTAGTGTCCCATCCTCAGAGCCTCTACAGAGCTGGGAATGGAGGGAGTATGCTGCCCAGAAGGTCCCCTGACCTCCCAGCCTCTGCTGGTGTGGGCGGTCCTTGATTCTGTGTAGGGTGAAGAAGCCTACATAATCTTCCTGTCGGTAGGGTAGGCTGCGGTAAACGCCGGACCTGGCCTCCACCCACTGGGTGAGCATTGGATACCTCCTCCTATGGCACTCACCACCTCATGGCTGCCTTCTCATCTCCAAGAGTTCTATTTTTGTTTTCTTCAGTTTAAAGTTGACCTTAGTAAAAATAAAACCAAACAAGCAAACAAAAAGCAAAGACAAGGGGGGGGGAGGGCACGGGAGGAGGGGAGGGAAAGGGAGAGGGGAAAAAAAAAAGAAAAAGAAGAAAAAAAAAAAAAGCAAAGACAAGACCACACCATCTTTTTCTGGACTGGAGGCCCACAGGCATCAGGCCTCACAAAATAGGCTCTGTTTTCTGAGGTCTGTGATGTTGAGCATGGTTGAGGAGCGTCAGAACAGTGGCGGTTGGGATACAATTCAGCTTTAAAAACAAAAGAGGTCAAACAGGTGGAAACAACTTAGGCCTTTGGGAAATGAGGTAAAGGTCCTTAGTGGGGTATAACGGAAAGGGAGGAAGCCAAGTGTCAGGTGGAAAGATGGGTGGGTTGTCAGCAACAGAGGGTTGGGGCAGCTGTGCAGATGCTGAGCTGTTTGGACATTGTGGGTACGGTGGGGTGCAGCGCTGCACTTGAGTCAGGTACAGGGGAGGGAAACAGCACCTGGCTATCTTCCTGGGCTGACCTTAGACCCAGAAGATCCTACACACTTCCTCCCTGATTGCTTTGATAACTGCAAATTTCCTCAACTCCAGCTCAAAGATGACAATGTGTCATTCATTCATCTCCTGGTGCCTGGCACTGGGGGGGGGGGGCGAACCCGGCAGTGCACAGACGGTGTGGAAGCAGCAGAACATTTCAGGGAGGGAAATGGTAAGCATCACCTCTGGCGGCGTGGCACAGGCCCTGCCGAACGGAGTGAGGTGCCTTTCTTCCCTGGCCTGGAGATCTGAAGCGGGAAGGAAAGGAAGCCGATTGCCGAGCTAGAACTCAAAGATCCAGCTCAGCCCAGGAGCTTGTCTAAAGCAGCTTTCCCTGGCACACTCAGCTCCTTCATCTTCCGTTGCCACAGAGACAGGAGGTGGTTGCTATGGAGACTGACGGGCAGCCAATCCGGAGCTGCTGTTTAAGCTCATCCTAGGACCTGGAGGTAATAACGCCTTCCTTTGACTCCCTGCGTCCTCTGTCCAGTCACTGAGCAATAGGCTGGGCCATCACTCATTAAAGTGGCCAGGCCCACTATGCAAAATACATAGCTATTTCCCCAGATTAACCCACACCCTGGTCCTGGTGACACCTTTTGCCTCTTTCCAGCTAAGAGGCGATGTCACTTTGGGAGGAGCCCGGATTCCAAGTGGCCCTTTGGATGCTACGGGAAAGGCGGGGCAGGGCGCAGCCTTCCGGCCCTAGACTCATCAGTAGGAGAAAGGAGATGGGATGAATGTGGGGAATGAGCGAGCGCCCTCCCTCTGGCGTTCCGCAGTGCCTGGCGCGGCGGCGCACGCTCACTCGGCTTGATAGGCGGGCGGGGCAGCGCTGACGTCATTCACGCCCCCCCCAGCAGAGGGGCGGTGGCCGAGCTGGCTACTCCGAGCGCATTGATGGACAGAGGGACAGAGAGACAGCGGGACCAGCAGGCACACGTCCAGGCCATGCCCGGGGAGGCTGCGCGCGCTGAGTTACTGCTGCCCGAGGCTGGAGGGCCAGGATCTCGCACAGGTGAGACCGCGCGGTGGCTCCGCTTTCTGGCCCAATACCTTTCTCTGGCTTTCTCTCTCTCCATCTCTCAGCCTCCTAACAGTCCCCTCCCCTGTCTTTCCAGACCGGTTCTACCCTCCACATTGCATCCTTCCCCCACCCCCAAGGATTTCATGAAAGCCTGGAGGCCGCAGACAGCATCCTCCAAAGCCTGGGGCTCTGAAGGACAGTGGCTTGGCCTTTCACTCTGGGTGGGGGGTGGGGGGCGTGCTCTTTGGACCAAGACCCATTTGCTTGGGTCGCTGTACCACATCGCGTTTCTTTGTCCACAAAGAGCTGCGGGGCCCCAGGACCGACTGTGGGGTGGCAGGTTTGGAAGGAGAGGCCCAGAGGGTCCCCGCAGGCTCATCCTGTGACCACCAGAGAGTCCTTAGAGGTACCTTGGGTGCCCAGGGCAGCAATCGGCTAGACTTAGAAAGGAGGTGTAGGGCTGATGGGACCTGGGAACCCAGCCAGAGGACATTGGCAGAGCTCGGTCTGGGGGTGCGGCTCTGGGGAGGTGTTGTGGCCAGCTGTGGTCTTAATAGTGCAGACCTTGGAGCAGCAGGGGCAGTAAATGTTGGTGGATGTCAGTTCACTTGCCTGGGGGTACTCTAAGCTTGAGTGGTCCCTACTGGAGATGGGCTGTGTGTGGCTTGGAGCAGCAGGGGCAGTAAATGTTGGTGGATGTCAGTTCACTTGCCTGGGGTACTCTAAGCTTGAGTGGCCCTGCTGGAGATGGGCTGTGTGTGACTTGGGCAAAGCCAAGGGCACCTTGCTGTGTGCAAGAAGTCATCTGGGAAAATACGGGCAAGAATGGAGATGGTGCCAATGCTGGGCCAGGAACCTGCCTGAGAACCAGCACAGATGCCACCCCACTATTGTTGGGGACAGGCAATCCAGGCTGGGACTCCCCAGACCCAGAGTGATAAGCTGGTTCCTTTCTGGCTGGCTTGCTGACCTTGAATGAATCACAAAGCAAACAAGCAAACAAAGAAAAGGCCCCACAACTTGGGCCTTTATTTCCATTTTAACCTTGGCCCAATTCTGCCCTCTGCCCTGAGGCCACACTAAGAAGTAGAGATGGCAATAGCCCGACTTTGGGACACTCAGTGACGGCTACTAGCCACACCCACTTCCAGTGCCGGGTGTCCCTCAAGGGACCTGCAGGACCCCTGGTTGCCCTAGTAGCCAGTGTCAAAGAACCCAGGCCCCAACTCTGCTGAGAGCAGGTATTAGGGGAGGTAGCTGTCCCGTCGCCCCCCCCACTCCACCACCACAACACACACACACACACACACACACACACACACACACACACACACACCAGCCTCCCTCTCATCCTGGGTGAGATGTGCTCCTTAGTAGCTGCAAGAGACAAGGCCTGCTGCAGGCGATGTTGCCCTGTCACCAGGGTACACAGAGAGCCAGCAGCATTGGCTGTGCGCCCACCACAGCCATAGGCCCCTAGGCCCCTCCCCCTCTTATGCAGGACTTGGCCTGGACTCTGGGGACAGCAGGAAGGCTTTAAGTGGATACTTCAAAGCGATGTGTGTTTGGCTATGGTCCAGGTGGGGGGGGGCTGTTACAGAGTCATTAAAAATGAGGCTAAAAAATGATGCTCTGAGAACTTGAGTACATTTAAATGGTTGAGTTAAAAATCATGGGACTCTTGAGTGAATGTGCAGTGACCTCAGGGGTGACATGCAGGTCAGAAAGAGGCCAGACAGCATTAGCCAGAGAGATAGGAGGTGTGTGGATACTGACTCCTGGAGAGATTTGTTCCTACCCAAGTCCCTAAGTACTTTCTGATCCACGGGGATCACGGCCCGGGCACGTGTCCATGGTGTCAGCAGAGGGTGTGCCAGCCCATGAGCGCCTATGCCTGAAGAGACTTGAGAAGGACCCCGAGGCAGGCCAGGAGCTCCCAGTAAGGTGGAGGATCTGTGACCATGAGTGGCCGCCACCATGGAGAAGACATTCCCAGCCTTCCCTCAGCTGCCCTGTTCCCATGGGCACCTGATCACCACCATTTCCCATCACTGCCCTTTGAGCAGGGTGCTGCAACTCAGACCCTGTGGCACATGTCTGCCTCCATCCTCCAGAAACTGAGCTGCTATGCAGAGAGCTCTGGGGAACTTGAGGTTGGCCTCGAGATGGGCAACAAGGGTAGGAGAGAGATGGGCTAGAGGCAAAGCCTCCTGCTTTACAGTAGACCTGGAATGTTCCAGAGCTGTAGTGTGCAGGACCCCTGCCCTTGTCACAGGGAGGAGCTGGCATTGTCCAGTGGAGTCCTGTAACCCTGATCCTGCCAAGACCTGTTGAACCAAGCTGGAATAGCCAGCCAGATTCAGAACAGAGACCATTGCTAGTTGTACCTTTCCTGAAGTATCTTCAAGAAAGGCCTGGGTTTCTAATACGCAACAACACTCCTCGTGACACCCCTTCCCATAAAGAAGCCTGTCATCTGCTGCCTGCTCTGCTGAAATGTCTGCAAACTCATTCTCAAGTCCATTTAACCTACACGTCATTCTCTCCTCTGCAACCTCCCCTGACTGTCCGTGGAAACCTGCCCCCTGCCCATGTTCAGCTCTTGGCTGGCCCTGAGATGTGTCCAGGAGGCATCTCATGACCCTTTCTGTCTCCACAGATCTCTCATGTGATGCAGCCATTGCCACCATCCTGAAAGGGGACCAACGGGAGCCCCTTGCCCTGACCCCACCAGGGCCCAGCCCCCTGGCCCTCACACTCCTGTCCAGCAAGCCAGGCGCGAGGCCCCAGCCTGAGGGAGCCAGCTGGGATGCAGGGCCCAGTGGGGCTGCCTCAACCTGGGTGGACCCAGCAGAGGGCAGCCCAAGTCCAGGGGTCCTCTCTGAGGGCCTGCCTCTCCAGTCTTTGCCTGCTGAAGTCCCTCTCCCCACCACCCTGGAGCCCCGCATCGTGATGGGTGAGGAGACTTGCCAGGTCATCCCTTCAGCCAGGGCAGCCTGGTCAGTGCTCAGGGACCCGGAGGGTGGGCACACCGCCCTGCAGCCACCTCCGGAGCCGCGTTCTCAGGGTGATCCTCCTGTGCCTTCCCCTCCCCCTGACCTTGATTCCTACTTCACACCACCCTCGACTCCCACCAGAACCACCTACGCCCTGCTCCCTGACCATGGGCCCCACAGGGATGCCTGGGACCTGGAGGCCGAGCTGCTGGATGAGTTGCTGGACTCATCTCCAGCTTCCCCCTCAGGCTCCTACATCACAGCCGATGGGGACAGCTGGGCCTCCTCACCTTCCTGTTCCCTCAGCCTGCTGGCCCCAGCTGAAGGGCTGGACTTTCCCTCCGACTGGGGCCTCTCCCCATCAGGGTCTGTGGTAGACGAACTAGAGCCACACCCCACAGAGTATCCGGAGCCCCGATCCTCCGAGTCTAGCCTCTCAGCCGACAGCAGCTCTTCCTGGAGTCAAGAGGGCCATTTCTTTGACCCGACCTTCTTGGCCAACGACCCGATGATCCCTGCCGCCCTACTACCCTTCCGGGGCAGCCTCATCTTCCAGGTGGAAGCTGTGGAGGTGACCCCACTGTCCCAAGAGGAGGGGGAAGAGGAGGCAGCTGCTGGTGCCGCCACCCCGGACGGAGACCTGGCTGGAGAGGCTGAGGACGACAGCACGTCTGCCTCCTTCCTGCAGTCACTGTCTGATCTGTCCATCATTGAGGGCATGGATGAGGCCTTCGCCTTCCGCGATGATACCTCGGCGGCCTCCTCTGACTCGGACTCAGCTTCCTACGCAGGGGCGGATGACGACGACGGGCTGTACAGTGAGGAGCCCCATGCCCAGCCCAGTGCCCAGAGTAGAGAGCAGGAGCACAGAGGCAGGACCTCGTTTCAGGGGGCAGAGTTCATGCCTCAGATTTCTGAGCCAGAAGCCTGTCTGACCAATAGCCAGGAATCGATTGCAGAAATAGCAGAAGAGGCCCCAACTTTAGGCATGGGGTCTGAGGCTACTGTGCCCCTTCCTGACCTGCAAGCAGCTCCAGGCCCCCAGGTGGAGGAAGCTACCACAGTCACCCCGAGGGTGGAGAACAAAGTTGACTCAGCTGCTCTACAAGCACCCAGGGCCCTGCCTGAGCCCTGCCGGAAGGGGATGAGCACGACCTTAGGATGTAAGACTGTCACTGCAGAGACCATTCTAGACTTGCAGGAAGTAGCAAGCCCCACCCTGTATCCAATCCTTCCTGCTAACTTGAAGGAAGGAGGCCAGGGCCTTCCCTCCACACCAGAGTATGTGGCTGTGGGTTCAGTGAGGTCCCAGAAGGTTGAGGGAGGTGTCACAATACCCCAGGACCTCCCTATGACACTATCTCCATTCTTGCAAGGTGTAGATCCCACCTCAGGCCCAGAGGCTGTGGAGGTAGTCACTCTGAGACTCCAGTGGGATGAAGGATGTGTCATAGCACTCCAGGAGGTCCCTGCAGGATCACCTCCACCCCTACCAAGTACAAAGCCCACCTCAGGCCCAGAGTCTAGGGCTGTGGCTACATGTGGGCCCCAGCAGGCTAAGGAAGGCAGCACAGCACCCCAGGACTCCCCCACGGCATCAACCCCACCCCTGCAAGGCTCAGAGCCCACCTCAGAACCTGAGGCTGTGGTCACATTGGAGTCCCAGCAGGATGAAGGGATTGCCACAGCACCCCAGGACTCCCCCACGGCACCAACCCCACCCCTGCAAGGCTCAGAGCCCACCTCAGACCCAGAACCTGAGGTCACATTGGGGTCCCAGCAGGATGAAGGGATTGCCACAGCACCCCAGGACTCCCCCATGGCATCAACCCCACCCCTGCAAGGCTCAGAGCCCACCTCAGACCCAGAACCTGAGGTCACATTGGGGTCCCAGCAGGATGAAGGGATTGCCACAGCACCCCAGGACTCCCCCATGGCATCAACCCCACCCCTGCAAGGCTCAGAGCCCACCTCAGACCCAGAACCTGAGGTCACATTGGGGTCCCAGCAGGATGAAGGGATTGCCACAGCACCCCAGGACTCCCCCACGGCACCAACCCCACCCCAGCAAGGCTCAGAGCCCACCTCAGAACCTGAGGCTGTGGTCACATTGGAGTCCCAGCAGGATGAAGGGATTGCCACAGCACCCCAGGACTCCCCCACGGCACCAACCCCACCCCTGCAAGGCTCAGAGCCCACCTCAGACCCAGAACCTGAGGTCACATTGAGGTCCCAGCAGGATGAAGGGATTGCCACAGCACCCCAGGACTCCCCCATGGCATGTCTATCCCCGCAAGGCTCAGATCCCACTCCAAACCCAGAATCTGAGCTTGCTGTCACACTGGGACCACCGCAGGCCAAGGGGGGTGTCACCATACCCCAGTTAGCTCCAGCAGCATCACCTTCACCTCTGCAAAACTTAGATTCAATGTCAGACCTACAACCTGAGGCTGTGGTCACAATGGGGTCCCAGCAGGCTAAAGGCAGTGCCACTGCACCCCAGGACACCCTTGTGGTGGCACCTCCGTCCCTTCAAGGTACAGATTCCACCTCAGAGCCAGAGCTGATAGTCCAAGACACCTCTCCGGCACTGCAAAGAGAAACATGCTACACCCCAGAGACTAAGCCTTCAGCCTCTGAGGCCCATCAGGAGTTAGGTGTGGCTTTAGGACCAAAGCCAGTGCCTGAGGAGCAGGGTTCAGAAGCCCCTCTAGATCCAGCTCTCCCTGCTTCAAACCAAGCCCAACAGAACGGCTCCCAGCCAGCTGTAAACACAGACAGCCCTGGGGCTCCAGAAGAGTCCTGCCCCACCTTGAGCACAATGGTCTCTGAGCCCACATCTTGTCTGGGAGAGAATGTAGCTGAGAGCATGCCTGCACTCAGGCAAGGAGCATGTCTTGAAGCCCACGATGGGGTCAAGACCAGCTCGCCTCAAAGACAGGTCCCCAAGAACAAGCGGGGTAGGGGCCCCAAACCACCAGGGCAGGGAAATGGAACCAAGTCAGCATCCCAAGGAGCAGGGGAGACTTCCAAGGCACAGTCCGCTGCATGTGCTGAGGTCAGCCAAACACAGCAGATGAGCTCAGCTGGAGAGGGGAGGGGCCTGAGCAGCAAGGACACCTTGGGCCCCAAGCTTCCTGTGGCTCTATGTGTGCAAGCCAGGCTAGGCTCCTGCCCAGGCTCCCCAGCAGGGGCCACATGCACGCTGAGCAGAGTCCACTCTGAAGAGACTGCCAGGGCTGCACCATCCTTTGAGCAGCTGGAGCCCGTGCTAACCCTGGGTAGCAGAGAACAGCCTCAGACGACCCCAGGTGCCCTTAATCCTTTCCCCGCAAACTCTGCCAGTGACCTGCCCACCACATCCCAGGGCAGGCCCCTGGATCCTGACCCTCCTGCTCCCAGCGCCCTCGACAGGGCATCCCAAACATCCCCGGGGCCCCCAGCTCCCTGCCTGTGCCCCACTTCCCAGAAAGCCTACGTGGAGGATTCCCCAGCCTCTGGAGGTCTGATGCCTCGGGCAGGAGCCCAGGGAGCTGCTGCCATTACCACCTCAGGATCCACAATGCCTCTGGGGGCCCGGCAGCGTGTCAACCTCTCGCCTCACTGCACCCTCAACCCCAAGGTGACCCCCACAGATGCCAAAGACCTGGCTTGCATCATCTCAAGCCCCTGCCAAGTGCCTCCTCCCTCTGGGACCCAGAACCCATCTGGCCCTCGAGGGTTCACAGCCCATGAACAAGAGGACGAGGACAGCCTCGAGGAAGGTAACCACATGTGGGGGTCAGGGCCTGGGCCAGCCAGCCTTTCAGGGAGACACTAGAGGATGGGACTGGAGGACACTCTGCGATCGCAAGAGGCCCTCATACCTCACCCCTTCCCCAGACTCACAGAGGGCCCCAGGCTCCGGCCAGCATTCGGATAGCCGTGGGGAGTCGCCAACTGAGCTGGATGAGCAAGATACCCCACCTCAGAAAGGGCAGTGCCCGGCACAGGTGCTGGCCCCAGAAGGGGGTGGGTCTCTGGGCGTTAGCCTTCACAGATGCTTAGCCTTCACCTTCCCACAGGGCCCAGCAGGCAGCAACGACGACACCACTGCCAAAGCCAAGCAAAGCCGCAGCGAGAAGAAGGCTCGAAAGGTCAGCTGAGGGCTCTCCTGGAGGACCCTGGGAGAGGACATGTGTACAGGGAGGCACTCTTACCAACAGCCCTCATAGCCTGTGGCCAGCGAAACCCTACCCACAAAAGGGCTTTCAGTCAAATCTAGTGACGCCCACCCCAAACACTGGAATGTCCTGAGGAAGCCCTTACAGCGGGAGGTCGGCCTGACATGGGAGGGACAAGCATCCAGTCACAGACAGGGAAGGTGGTCTGAGTCTCTCACCCTCCACCTAGGCTATGTCAAAACTGGGCTTACGGCAGATTCAGGGAGTCACCAGGATCACCATCCAGAAGTCCAAGAACATCTTGTTTGTCATTGCCAAGCCAGATGTCTTTAAGAGCCCCGCCTCGGACACCTATGTGGTCTTTGGTGAGGCCAAGGTCGGTCATGCTGTCGTGTCAAGGCCAGGGCTACGGCCATGCTGTGGTTTGGGGGAGGCCGAGGAAGGCAAATGGGTGGGTGGGCTCTGGCTCACACAGATGTCCCATACTGCAGATCGAGGACCTGTCCCAGCAGGTGCACAAAGCGGCAGCAGAGAAGTTCAAGATGCCCTCAGAGTCCTCAGCCCTGGTCCCTGAGCTGGCCCCTGGGCCCCGGGTGAGGCCAGAGTGTGAGGAGCAGGAGGAGGACGAGGAGGTGATGTACAGAGGCCCTGGCGCTTGACTGGGGGCAGGGTGAGGGTGGGATGGGACTCTATCCTAGTGGGCAGAACCCTGCTCAAGGGGCCTCAGGCAGCTTACGTCACCCCGTTATTTCCCTCCACCAGGTAGAGGAGGCTGGCCTAGAACTTCGCGACATTGAGCTGGTGATGGCCCAGGCCAATGTGTCCAGGGCAAAGGCCGTGCGGGCACTGAGGGACAACCACAGTGACATTGTCAATGCCATCATGGTGAGCAAGTACTAGCCCCTTCTGCAGCCCCGATGTCCCTGGGGAGGTCCTGCAGAGAAAGCCCTCTCCTGACCCGACTCTCCCTCTGCAGGAACTGACGATGTAGTACTGACTGGAAGCTCGGGCCGTTCTGCCTCCTCCCAGCTCTGTTGCCCAATAAACCGGTGTCACATCACGAGCCTGTGGAGTCCCCTCTGTTGTGTGGTAGTCACCGGGGCCTTGACGTCCCTCAGAACCTGGTATCTTCTCTGCCTTCTGTCCTCCCCGCTGCCTCGATGCCATTGCCAAGTCACCATCCCTTTAGTGTCCCATCACTCTCTGTGGTTACCTAACTGCCCTCTGGTATCTCCCCAGTGCTCGGCACTCCCTCGTCACCCTCCTTCAGTCCTGTCATTCCCAAGCGTTCTTCACTCCTCTCTGGCTTTCTCTCAGACCCAGCTACAGCAACATGGCCGCGCTCTCCATCTCCTACAGCTGTGGCCACAGAAACGTGGCTGGCCCACGCCTTTACTCACACACCCCCTGCTGGTGTGCACACGGGACACTAGCGCGTAACAGGGCTGACTGCAGCTTATCTCCAGTCTCCCCACACTTCCAGGAGAGAATTAGCTGCCTGCAAATCGAGAGACCACCCCAATAGTCTCGACTCTCTTGGCTTGGCCTAGGCGCCCATGACCAGTCCCAGGACAGCAGACGACAAGAAGATTCTGCCAATCACTGTCCTGAGGTCATGATGCTGCTGAGGAGAGTATCTGTGAGACCCCAGGGACACTCTAGCTTGCCCTGGAGACAACTGAGGTGTCCACAGAGTCCCAGGGACTTGGTCACAACCATTCCAGGCCAGAGACAGTCCTGGTCCTCGCACAGCTCTTCCTCCCCGAGTGTGGGCTATAGAGGTGCCTCGCCAGGTCCCCAGCCCAGGAGCTTCATAGGGCTGCCTGGCCGCAGGTCACTTCCCTCCTCTCGGTGGCTACAAGACTTTCAGAGGGTCCAGAGGGTCCAGAATGAAGTCACCAGGCTTAAGGGAAGGAGACCGAGTGAGGGCCATGGGGCCCATGGCAACTTTTCAGAAACCCCAACTCTCAGTTCTGTGGGCTGTACTCTTCCTGCACATGGCACTTCATCAAGGAGGCTTACACAAAGGGCCACGGTATGCCACTGTCCTTGGCATAATCTCCACATAGAATACAAAGATCGAGGTACCCCTACCATGGGAGAGAGTCCCCAGATGCCTGCTCCTGCCCTTGTCCACAGAGCCAAAGCAGAAGCACCAATCGTCTCTGCTACCCCAGCCCTGGATACTGCGGGCAGTCATGGTCCAACACGGGGGCCCAGCCCTGTGACAACATGGCTTTTAACTAATAGGAACAGAAAAAATGCTTGACAACTGGAGATTAAATTATTCACATTGTAGTAAACAACTTTTTAAGGTCTCTGAGAGTTAGAAGAGGAAAATCATGTGCAAAATATCAGTTGTCCAGGACCAGGCCGACAGGACTGACTCTTCCTGCAACTGGCCCTCCCCGAGCGGGATATGCTACAGGCATTGCTGAGCTCTGAGCAAGAGGCACAGAGGCTTCACCTGTGTTGGGGCACATGTCCTGTGGCAGCTCTCCGCTCCTTCACAGTAGAGGACCTGGCCACCAGAGTCACCTGTGTCTGCAGCCCCTCCCTAGCTCCTCGCCAGGCAGGGCTGGCCGTCAGGTCCAGGCAGGCCTGGGATGGCTGTGTGTGACAGGCGTGCGCAGTCACAGACCATCATGCTGAGCCCTGGTCCATGCTGCAGCCCAGCGCTTCAATATCACTACTGATGTCCAAGATCATGCGGTCCCACTCATCCCCCTCCGAAGGCGCTGCCCGGTCATCAGGGCTGCCTGTGGTCCTGTTCCCGTTGGTGGTGGAGGTGGAGGTGGTGCTCAGGGCACGGCGATGCCTGCCAAAGCTGTCAGTGATGATGCCACGGCCGTCTTTCACGCCAATGGTCTCCAGAAAGTTTTCAAAGTGCTGACTGTCCTTCTCAGGGATGAAGGGCCTCAAACCTGCCAACATATGACCCCAGAGTGACATCTCAGGGGAGCTAAGGATACTCAGATCACACAAGCTGTGCCCTGGAGCCAGGCTTAATTAGCTCTGACTTTGACAAGGGACCCCAGCTACAGATTGCTTGCTGTCTGTCAATCTAACCCTCTTTGGCTTTGAGACGTGGCCCAGATCAGGGGCCTATCCTATAGGGCAGAAAGCCAAGGCCTCATGCCAAAGCCAGTAACCAAACGCAGGGTAATGGTCCCACCAGGAAGCTGTCCCCTTCAGGAAGATCAGTGACAAGAGTCCTGGAGCCAGAACCCTGATGTGGGCAGGCAGGCTGGGCCCATCCAGATGGGACAAGGATTTCATGTACACAATAGGTGAGTTTATAGACAGCATTCGCCTGATGTGGAGCCTTTAGGAGAACCCTGACATATTCACACTATAATTGTAGAACACAGGAAGTAAGAGGTAAAGAGTTCAAAGTCATCCTCCCCTCCACAGGGAGTTTGAGGCCAGCCTGAGCTACATGAGACTCTGTATCATAAACCCAAACTAAACCAAACCAAATATATGAAAAAACCCCTCAAACAACCTGCTTAGGCAGGGGCTGGGAGGTGGCAGAGAGGCCTAGAGGCTAGTAGTGTTAGCCGCCTGCCTAATGCAGGGTTCTAAGCAGCAGACACCCACAGATCAACTCCTTTCCAACGCACTTTTTCTAAGCTTACTGCATAGCTCAAGCTAACCTTGAACCTGCTATGGGGCCTCAGTCTTCGGAGTGCTCGGATTAAGGCTGTGTGTGGTTCATGCCTGGTTCTACACCCCTCTGGCAAAGAGGCAGCTGAGAACAAAACGGGAAGGAGCTGGCTTCAGGCTTCTGAAGCACATTCTGGGCCGGGTGCCAGGACCTGGAGCCTGAGCCTGCTGGGCGCCTGATCCAGAAAACCTGCAGGAGTGAGGAGCTCAGACCAGACTCGCCTGGGTCTAGTCTCCAGTCCTTCCCCTCCCAATGGGAGAGAGCCAGGCAGGCAGCGGCTGCTCACTGGGCCAAGAAAAAGCAACATCAGTTGAGCTCCCTTGGTTTAGCAACAGCACAGGGAAGACCCTCACAACTTGCAGTGAGTGACTGCCAGCTCACTGCGTTCTGAGTGTTGGCAGGAGGGGAGGCCACAGAGGTGCCATTGTTCCTTCCAGGTGTGGGGCTGATGTGGCAGGCCTGACGCCTAGCCTGGTGGGGACAGAATGTGCTAGGCTCCTCGGGGGTCTTGGACAGAGGCTCGCCCTGCCATCTAGATGGCGTCTTTGCTTTCCCACTCACCAAATCCCTAATGCTCCCCAAACCCACTGACAAAGTCACCCCTCACGAGCCCCTTGCCTCTCTGCACAGCACCCTTCTGACGTGATGGTGTTGTTCAGACTCAGTCTCAGGACCTTTCGTGCTTCCTGGCAGAGCCCCCCCCAGCTCAGTTCAAAGCTCCAAGCAGGGTGAGGGCACAGCTCTGTCAATCCTGCAGCCTCAGCCCAGCTGTGATACAGATGTGTCTGATGGAGCGCCTCCCCTCTGAACTCTGCACATGCCCAGAGGGGACCAGTGGCCCTACCAAGCCCCACGCACCAAGCAGCAGGAACTTGCGGCTGTCCCCATAGAGCTGTCGCAGGCTGATACAGAACTCGTGGATCGAGGCCCCGTTGCGGTATTCATGGAGCAGCGCTGCAAACTGCTGGATCTCCTGTGATGACAGCTTAGTGCGTAACTGTGAAGGGAGACAGGTGTGGGATGGTGAGGGGCCAGCTAGGTGCGTGAGTGCGGCAGCTGGACCCCACCCTTACCACAGCCCCAGGGGCCAAGGCTCAGTTCTTAGGTGTCAGGCCATGCACAGACATGTTGGCCACGTCTGGCTTCCTGTGTACCTGCTGTAGGGCCAGAATGTCCACCGTATGTCTCTGTCATCAGGCCCAGCATAAAAACTACCCAGAGAACCAAGTAGCACACAGATCTGTTGTCTCAATATAAAAGGGTCCCAGGGAGGGCTGAAGGGAAGGAAGCTAGCCCCCCACAGAGCAGCAGAGACACAGGCATGGCCCGGGGGTAAACAGATCCAGAAGGCTGACTTTTCAAATCTAAGACAAGGAGGCACCAGGCCTAGGCCCTGATGGAGCTGCTGTTCCTAATCAGCACCAGCTAGGGCCCACAGACCCCACTCCCACAGGCCAGCAGTAACTAGACAAGGCAGGTGACCCAGCCGGCTGCCTACCGTGAGCATGTAGTCCTGCAGCAGTTCCGTGGCACTGGTGCTCAGCTCGCTCTCGCTGACCGTCTTGCTATGGGGTGACGGCTGCGTGCAGAAGGACAGGGCAGGCAGTCCTCCCACATCCCCGGAGTCTGAGAAGCAGCTGCAAAGACACAAGGAGGGTGGGCCCCGACCACTCAGCCCTCACTACACAACCTCACGAGCCGCCTGCTCACAAACAGTCACACACGCGAACGACGGTGACAAGGAAGAGCTACCTGGGCATGGCCTCGTGTGGTGAGCGAGAACGAGGAGTCAGCTCAGTCTCACAATGGAGCTGAGAAGCCCTGGTGGAGTGACTCTCCGTGGGTGTTGGGCAGAGGTCAGAGGAAGGGCTAGGGTGGAAGTCTTGGCCTGCTCAGGTGTTGTCCCGGGCTGGGGGACTGCACAGGCTGAGCTAACAGGCTTCAGAGGATGCAAACCACACCATGCCGTGTGCCTTTTCCAAGGGCACTTCTGGAGGCCACAGAAGGTAAGAACAAGTCGGGACTGGCAAGGCTCTAGAGGTGGAACCTGGGGCAGGAACTCAGTGGAACTGAAGAGAACTTGTGGGACCACCAGGATAGAGACTAGACACAGAAGGCCATGCATGTGATGATCCAAGCCCAGAGCTCAGTGCATGTACTCACAAGGTGCTGGCTTCAGCATCATAAGTGTCCGTCATGTCCACTTTTGTGGAAGAGTCATCTGTGCAAAAGACATAGAAGACACAGAGGACTTTCAAGTACTGGGTAGGTGTTCCAGGTCCAGGTACCCAGGTGGCCCTAAAGTGAGCACTCAGTACAGGTAACCCCAATGCCACATCTATAGGCAACAGCAGCTGCCCCGGCTTTCGGGGCTTCACCATGGGCTTCCTATCCTGGCAAGGTTCCTAGACTTGAACCCACATCCCTCCTGAGGATTTTGTCAACTACACAACCTGTCATAGGCTGGGATGGAGTCCATACAGGTGGCCAAGGTAACAATAGGTGCGTTTGGAGATGTCAATTATGTGCACAACTAAACCAGAGGGGTAATGCCACTTGCCCCCAGGCTGCTCAGCAGTAGCCACAGAGCTAGGCAGTTAAACCTCAGAGCCTGGACACAGCTGAGGCTCAGAATCTGAGTCCCTCAGTGTAGCAGAGGGTGAAGCCCACTCCAACATAATGTCCAGCAGACAGCATTTTGTGTCGTCAGGGCTGCACTTTGCTTCTCCAGCCCTGAGAAAAGCCACTCCCCCATCAGGACAGGCAGTGACAGAGAAAGAGTGACAGGGACCAGGACACCGGTGATGCAACAGAGGCCAGGTATGTGCAACGGCATCCGATGATGTCACAACCTCTCCTGGGATTGGGACTGCAACAGTGCGAGGCAAGAGTAGTGACAGTCCCTAATTAGTAGACCGTGAAACGGGGAGATGAGCCTGGACTGTGTGGAGGACTTAATGTGGTTGCAAGCATTTGCTGTGGTGTGGGTATAAAGAGGCCACCCCAAGGCTTACACACTAAAGGCCTTGTCCTAGCTGATGTCACTATTTCACAAGTTCTGGAAACCTGAAGATGTGGGACCTAGCTGTGCAAATGCGTCACTGGGCTATGTCCACTAGACCTCTATCTAGTCCCAATCGTCCCTCTGCTTCCTCCCAGCATGATGCTGCCTCACCATGGCCTAGGAACAGGCTTGGTCATGGACTGAAACCTTTAAAGCTATGGGCCAAGCAAACTCTTCCTCTTTTTATTTTTTGTTTTTTTTTTTTTTGAGACAAGGTTTCTCTGTGGCTTTGGAGGCTGTCCTTGAACTAACTTTTGTAGACCAGGCTGGTCTTTAACTCACAGAGATCCGCCTGCCTCTGTCTCCCGAGTGCTGAGACTAAAGGTGTACGCCACCACTGCCCAGCCACTCAGGATTTTAAGACCCCCCCCCCCCTCAAAAAGGGGTGGGCAGGGTGGTACATATCTTTAACCTTTAATCCCAGCACTCAGGAGGCAGAAGCAGGTGGATCTCTGTGAGTTCAAGGCCAGCCTGATCTACATAGCCAAGCTCCAGATAAGGCAGGACTACACAGTGAGACCCTATCTGGAAACAAAGAAAGGGAGAGACTGAGGGAGGGAGGGACTGAGGGAGGGAGGGACTGAGGGAGGGAGGGAAGAAGGGAGGGAGGGAGGGAAGAAGGGGGGGAGGGAGGGAGGGGGAAAAAAAAGAAGACTCCAATAGGATTTTCAGAGAACGAGTCAAAACAATCACAGGGACACAGAACTGCTCCAAGCTGTGTACCCTAGACACCTGGTGACCTCCAAGCCTCAACTGTCCCACCCGTGAGTCAGTGATAAAGGTGTTGTAGCTTCACTGGTGTGTGGAAGACTCAATGGCCCCATACCCACTCAAGGCTTCCTTTCAGCTCTATAACTACACCAACAGCTCTCCCATACCAGTGAATTACCAGGAACAGGGTAGAAGACAGGATACTTCCTCCATAAAATAAGTACCAGACGGTAAGCTGCTCCCAACATCATTTCATGTCTCTGATTTACACACACCATTAATCCTCAATAAAGGACAGTTAGCCCTGCTGTGTTTACACATATCTTCAGTGAGTGTGGTGGTTTGAAAGAAAATGACCCCAAAGGGAGTGGCACTATTAGGAGGTGTGGCTTTGTTGGAGGAAGTGTGTCACTGTGGGGGCGGGCTTTGAGGTCTCATATGCTCAAGCTTTGCTCAGTGTGATACTCAGTCCATTTCCCATTGCTTTCTGAAGAAGATGTAGCCAACACCATGTCTGCCTGCATGCGGCCATGCTCCCTGCCATGTTGACAACATAATAAACCTTTGAACTGTAAGTGAGCCACCACAATTAATGTTTTCTTTGTAAGAGGTGGAGGGCTAGAGAGATGGCTCAGAGGTTAAGGGCACTGATTGTTCTTCCAGAGGACCTGGATTCAATTCCCAGCACCACATGGTGGCTCACACGAGAAGTTGAATCTATGGTGTGGTTACTGAATCCTTAAAGAGGAGGAAACGTCTGTTTGCTCCAGACACAAGTTACACGTCCCCTTTTGATTAAGGTTTGTAAGCGTGGTGAAAAATAAACTCACGGCATTCAGTATCAACTGAATCTGCCTTCCTGACTGCATTCTGTGTCTCTGTCTTTCCCTTACCGTCTATAGCTGGCCTGCCTTTACTCCACACTCCCCCTCTCAGGTACGAACCCGGGGCTGCTCCGCTGGCCCCGACAGCAGCCCCACAAAGACACTCAGGACACACATTCAGGCAAAACACCAATGCAAAAAAATAAAATAAAAAAGTTGCCATGGTCATGCTGTTTCTTCACAGCAATAGAAATCATAAGGCAATGAGCTTGCACACAATGATTGTGATGGTTAATTTTAGTTGCTAACTTGATTGGATCTGAGATGACCCACAGACATGGCCAAACACAAAGAGGTCTGAGGTAAAGCAGCTCCTCACCTGCTGTCTTTGCTCCTCCTTGTAAGTCTGACTACTCTTGCTGACACAGAGCCCGGCTTCCCTGGCTCTCCAGCACTATGCTGGGGCTGCTGAAGCATCCAGCCTTTGCAGTGTGCAGACAATGACTGCTGAACTACTGAGCCTGTATCTCGGAGGCCAATCCAATAAGTCACGTTTGTAATATGTATTCATTCTATGGGCTATGTTCCCTAGAGAACACTAAGAGAATAAAGTATCAGGAATGGGCCTCTGCAGAGATGAACCTGACCATGTGGTTCTTAGGTCTTTGGAACTGGTCTGTAGGAGGGATGTGGGAGAGTCTAGAACTTACTTAATGGGCCGCTCTGGTAGGGTTTGGAAAACCAGAATGGTGAAATAAAATGCACATGGTAAGTTTCAGACATGAACAGCTAGGATAGGGGCTGGAGAGATGGCTCAGCAGTTAAGAGCACTGACTGCTCTTCCAGAGGTCTTGAGTTCAATTCCCAGAAGCCATATGGTGGCTCACAGCCATCTGTAATGAGATCTGGCGCCCTCTTCTGTCGTGCAGGCAGACATGCAAGCAGAACACTGTATACATAATAAACAAATCTTAAAACCAACAACCTATGGATAGAAGCAGCCTTCAGACTTTTGCTCCTGCCACCACACCCTCCCCTCCCTCGGCTGCTGTGCTTTCCCCACCATGAGGGAAAGACGATGAACCACTCCTGCCTTCAACTGAATCTTGTTAGGTATTTGGCTACAGCAATGAGAAAACTAGCTCCTATTTTTTGAAACAGGGTCTGGTTATGTAGCCCAGGCTGGCCTCAAACTTGGGAGGGATCCTGTCTTCATCTGCTGGGTTCCTGGACTACAGGTGTATGTCAGCACATGTAGCCAGGCAGTGTCTGTGGACTGACAAGATGTCTGCACAGCACAGCCAGCCTCCCTGGATGATGCAGATGTGTTGACCCTCCTGCCGCCTCTGCTTCTTCCTGCCCCTCCCCAATTTCCTGGTCTCAGCCTCTCGCAAGCCAGAGCAACCTCAGGCGGTCTGGCTGTGGTCTCGTAAGGGGTTACACATGGAGAGTAGCCCAGGTAAACCAACAGGGAGGCTCTCCAAAACACCTCAGCCTCCCAGTTCCACAGCAACCCTTTCTGGGAGCCTATGACCCCTACTTTCACCAACTTACCGCTGGGCAGCGACAGGTGGTGGGTGGGTGTGGAGGCCCCATCAAATATTGCTCGGTCCAGAAAGTCGATGGTGGACTCCGTGTAAACAATCTGGAAGACCTGGCTGAGCAGGGAGCACAGCTCTTCTGCGGCGACCTACAGTGATTGGAGAGCAGCAGCTGTCCTCAGTGGCTAACCCCACACAGAGCAGCTTCCCAGTCTCTAGGACACCTACGTCTCAAAGGCTCCACAATAAAGTGGGGAACAGACCGTGAACAAAGGGCCCCGTGCCTTTCACAGCCCAGAGGACTAGCAAAAGACAGAACCAATGCTTGAGAGCAGATTGCGGCCTAGGTGTGGCCGCAGGCGTCTGGAGATCATGCTAGACATGGGTGCTGGCATCCGTTTTGCCTCCTCGTCCTCTAACTGGCCAACAACATGTTCAAAATTCCCACCTAAGCCCAAGGAGAGAAAAGACACCGCTGGCCTCATTTTTGACCTCAGAGGTATTTCCAGAAGCAGTGGAGTCACTTTGTAACAGTGTGCTATTTCAAAGAGAGCTTCTCCAGTGGGCTTTGTCCCAAACCCTTGATGTGAAAGTATCTGGAGACATTTTTGATTATTACAAGGAAAAGCCAGGGATGTTTGTTGCTCAACACTCTAGAGTACATTAAGTTAGCTACCCACAACAAAGAAAGTATATCTTAATTTTTTAAAAATTTTACATGCATTGGTGTTTTGCTTGCATGTATGTCTGTGTGAGGGTGTTGGATCTCCTGCAAGTGGAGTTCCAGACAGGTGTGAGCTGCCATGTGGTTGCTGGGAATTGAGCTCAGGTCCTCTGGAAGAGCAGCCAATGCTCTAAACTGCTGAGCCACCTCTCCAGCCCCAAAGAAAGTATTATTAAAGTGTCACTGTCAGCAAGGCTAAGAGTAAGGTGAACTGCAGGTGCTTAGGAGGCCGTCACCATTAGTCACTGGAAGTCAGAGACAGATGAAGTGGACGGTGTCAAGTGACGCCCGAGGCTTCGCAGCCTCCCTCTGTGCCTCTGTGACTGCCCAGGTGCTGAGGAAAATGCCAACTGTGCTCACAGCACCAGGCAGGTCTGCGGTGCAGGGCACCATGCCTGTGGCCATCACTGTCCGTCAGCGTGGGGGTGAACAGAGGCACCCTGAAGAGGAGTCGGGCGAGCAAGGGCTCTGCCAGCCACCTCAGGGATGGCGCTAGAGAGGCAGTGAACAGTACAAGGGCACGGCTGGCAGAGGAGGCTGAGGCAGGTCCAGGAGGACCCGGGAGAATGGGCTACTACTATGCTGTATGCGGGGGCAGGGCCTGGTCGTGGAGTACCCGTGGGAAGGGACAGTGCCTGAAGTAGTACTAGACAGAGTTGGAGGAAGGGCTGGCTAGGGCCAGAGGGGTAAGTGGGGCTGTGAGACTTGTGGGTGGGATCTGGTCTTGGGAAGGTCCTGATCACGGGCAGGACCGGCTGTGAGCTGGGTCATGGACTAGGGACAGGAAGAAGCTGCGGATAGCTCTGGTCCACAACAGGGAGGTCTCACCTTGCTCTCTGTGGCCATGATGACCAGGCAACATGCCTCTACTGGTCCCACTGCACTGTCTGACAAGGAACCTGCGCTGAGGCCTCTAGAACTTTCTGCACACAGACTCTGGCTCGGAGAGATGCCTGGGTCCTGGGCTGGGAAGTAAACACATAGGTCAGCGCGGTGCATGGAGGGCAGGCAGGACAACTGGACCACTCCCTCCCGGAGGCCTGCGAGATGGCGCGCAGAGGGAGAGCGCTCGCCATGCAAGCCTGACAACATGCCCAGGAACCCGTAATGGTAGGAGGAGAGAACCAGCCCTACAAAGTTGTCCTCTGACGTCCACATGCATACCATGGCACACACATTCACCACTGCACATGTGCACACGCCACAACATCGTGTGTGTGTGTGTGTGTGTGTGTGTGTGTGTGTGTAATAAAGACTTAATTTAAGATAAATCAACAGATAAACCCCAGTCCACCAGCCCTCACAACAAAACTAGCTTGTGAGAGGCCCAGGGCACACAGCACATCTGCATACTCCACTGTGTACCACACCATGCCAGCTGGCATTCAAAGTAACAGACAGCAGACCACAAATAATCCCAACAGGGCCCACACCTCCAGCCAGTTTTTGGTCCAAGGCAGGGGATGTGAATGGTCCAGTTGTGGGGATGGACACAGCCCAGGGCCACACCCTCACACTGTACACATCAGAAAATCATCGTGGTTCCAGAGTGGTCCAGGGAATGTGACCGAGAACAGCACACTGGTCAGACCAGCCTGGGAAGGGTGTTAGAACTGTAAGCTAAGCTTAGAGGTGGCCCTTCTGTCACTCTCCTCGGGGGTGCTCAGAAGGCAAAGCTGGAGAAACATGAGGCTTTGCTACAGCCGTGGGAACACAGGCAGAGACAGATGAGGCCAGACACAGGTAAAGTATAGATGATGGCTGTCAGCTACGAGTGAGATCCTGGAACAATGTCCTTACAGTAGTCACTGATCCCAGAGCTACTGAATGGCAAAGCGATAATGAGCTGTGCACAGGGTAACTCACACCCAGGACTTGATTTACTTTTAACCAAACAGTAACTAGCTCAGTCATTTTCATATTATGCATATGCCCTCATAGCAACCTATAGATACAGGAGGCAAAATAAATATACTATTTATATACTATAAATATGCTATGTAGTCCCAGCACCTGGAGAAAAGAAGCAGAAGGAATCGCCGTGAGTTCAAGGCCTGACTGGGCTAGACAGTGAGCTTAAGACCATGCAGTTGTGGCACACGCCTTTAATCCCAGCACTCAGGAAGCAGAGGCAGGCGCATTTCTATGAGTTCCAGGCCAATCTGGTCTACAGAGTGAGTTCCAGGCCAGCCAGGACTACACAGAGACACCTTTATTTATAAAAAAATAAAGACTAGCCATGATGAAACACTGTCTTAAATATTGGATAATACTAACTGAATATAAATTTTAAAAACATGGGGAAAGCCAGGGATGCTAGGATAAATGTATATGTGTGTATGTATACACAATCCCTCACAGAGAAAGAAAGCCTATAAATATATTATTAAAAGTAGTCTCACCGGACGTTGGTGGTGCACGCCTTTAATCCCAGCACTTGGGAGGCAGAGGCAGGCGGATCTCTGTGAGTTCGAGGCCAGCCTGATCTACAAGAGCTAGTTCCAGGACAGCATCCAAAGCCACAGAGAAACCTTGTCTCAAAAAACTAAAAAAAAAAAAAAGTCTCACTTGTTTCTATTTTTGTAACATTCTAAACTGCCCCCTCGCCCCTCAGTGGGCAGCTGTGAGGTGTGGGCACCTAGCAGATGCCATCTGTGGGGATGCCACTTGTACCCTCTGGGCAGCAGCTTCACACCTGCCACCTGGCTCTGCGGCATCATTCAGAACGCTCTGACAGATAGACACAAGGCTCTCTGCTTCATCTACTTTCCACACGAGACAGCCCCAAACACTAGCAAGCCTCTGAACAGAAGAGGCACACGGAGGTGACACATGCAAGGAGATGCCTGGCTGTGTGGGGAAACTGCCAGTCAAACCCTAGACCACACCGTGTGCCTGCCCAGAGGCCTCAATCAGAGGGAGGCACACAGGCGGCCAAAATGAGGCAGCCCCTGGATGCAGGGGTGCGCTCTCTGCTGGCGGGAGGAACAGGGTCTCCGTACTCCTCAGGCTTTTTGGAATGCTCCTTATATGGAGGGAAGTCTCTATTTTTCTCTTCCTCAACCGTTTATTCTAATGACTCAAGCAGAGAAACATTCGTGCCGCATGAGAAATACAGGGACCACTTCTCCATACCAGCTTGAAATACCCACAGGAACCTGGTCAGGAACCTGCCTCCTTCCTCCTCGTCTCTGAGGGCCAAGAGCCCGAGGATTACCTTGGTGACGGCTGGGGTCTAAACCCAGAAGGAACCAGTTCAATCAGGACCACCCACCTTCACCCCCATGTGAGATGCGACTCTCAGGGTTACTATAGATGCAATTCATACCAGACTTTGTAGTTTGAGTCATGCTAAACTGACATTTTTACAGATTAAAATGGTTAGTGACAAATTCGTACTGTCCCATCTAACTTGATGCCTAGCATGAAATGGACGATGCTCCCTCAACTCTGAGGAGACAAACAAAGCACTATAATTTGAATGCTAAATGTGTGGTAAAGACTTGGTGCCGGGGTGTGCTATCGGGAAGTGGGAAAGTTTCAGGAGGCCCTTCGGTCAGCAGGGCACGCCCTCAAAGGAAACCATGGGGCCCAATCCTCTTCCTTTCTGGGCTTTCTCACCATGAAGCAAGCAGCTTTGTGCTACATGCAATTCCTGCTGCTGCCACCTGGCACCTGCACCACAAACCTAGAAGCGATGAGTCTACTTGGCCACAGACTGGAACTTCAGAGGCCATGAACCAAATAAACCTTTTCCCTTGCAGCTGGGAGTGGTGGCTCACTTGCATAATCCCATTACTCAGAAAGCTGAGGTATGACTGCCATGAGTTCAAGGCTATCCTGGAACTTAGAGTGAATTCCAGGTCAGAGAGACCATAGTGAGATCTTAACTAAAAATAAAACCTTGTGCTTCGTAAATTAAGTATCTCAAGGGGATGGGTTCAGATGTCCTTGGTAAGAGTACCGGTGTCTGTGTGACTGCGAGTGTGTAAAGCATGCATATGGGTGTGACAGGGCGGGGCAGGCAAGTGCATCTGAGTCTACAGCTGTGGTGTGTGTGTGTGTGTGTGTGTGTGTGATGGAATGTGTGAGTTGTATGAAGGAAAATGTGGTGTGTACATGTGCTGGGCAAGGAATGAGCTGTTCTACACAGACAAGGCAGAACCGCTCAAACTCCTTCACAGCCCTCCCGCTGCCTGGGGTTAGCCACAGTACTTGGATTGGCATCATTAGCCAGACACACTCCTCCCACAAACGAATCAGGCTAGACCAATTCTGACCCCTTGTGCCTTGTCACCAGCACTCAGGAGCTGGTTTCAGGATCATCTCAACCACTCACAGTGACCTAGCGGGCCCAGGCCAGTGAGCCTGCGGCGACACAGGTAACACAGTCTCTCCCTCACTTCTCACTGGTTTAAATGCTAGGGTGGAGGCCCAGAGGCTGGGAGAAGCTTGTACTAGCATCTAGGAAGGTGGGTGTGCATCCACAGAGAAACACAGCCACTGGAAAGGGACACCGGGCCATCTCTGAACATGAAGGCAGCACCAGAGCCAGGGAACTCTTTGCTCTCCCGGCTTTGGGAACACTGGAATGTGGGCTAGAGCTAGACCGGGGGTGCACACTTGTAATCCCAGTATTCAGGAGGCAAAGGCGGAGGCAGGCAGGTCTCTGTGACTTCTAAGCAGCCAGGGCTACATACAAAGACGTCTCAAAAGAGCAGAACAAAAGCAAATATGGGCGGGGCTCACTACCCTTCTCTCTGGGCTCCACTTTACCTGGGCGGGAAGATGACATCAATGGGACAGAGACCGAGGACTTAGCAGGAAAAAGGCCTTTTTGTTGAGACACTATGTAGCCCTGGCTGTCCAGGAACTCACTTTGTAGACCAGGCTACCCTCAAACTCAGAGATCCACCTGCCTTTGACCACACCTGGCGCAAGAAAGATCTTATTTGAATACTGACCCCAAATATTGTATTCCTCAAGTCTCCAAAGTGCCTGAGTGGCACAGGGACCAGGCTGGAGCTGCAAAAGCCATCTCCAGAACGTCATGAAAGCCAGGGATCCTTCTTAGGTGGCGAACCTCCAGACCACTACCCCAAATCCATACCCGTCTTCAGGACCACCAGGTGTGCAGCGTCGTCTCGGACATAGGAGACAGCAGCAATGTCGTGGATGGGCACCCTAAGGATAATGTCCTCCCCGTCCCTCCAGGCCAGCTTGACATTGTAGGCAGACAGACTGAGCACAGCATCGTGCTCCTGGGTCAGGTGTCCAGGAAGCTGGTGGGACCGCTGCAAAGAACCACAGGCATCAGAAACGTTGGGCTGGCTGATGGCCACACGTGGCTGATGGCCACACGCCAAGGAGAGGTGAAGGAAAGTGCTGCTCCCCTCAGTACAGTGAGACTCACTCCAATGGTGTCAGTATGTTCGAATCACATGGGAGATTCTTCTGGAACTGCCTTTTAGATTCAGATTTACAGTATATATAAATCTAGAGTATCTTCAAATATGAGCTTGGGAAGCAGCCCAAACCACATCTAAAGGTTCAGACTAAGGACACCCACAGTGACAGAGATGGGCCATCCCTGTCAGTCTACCGTCAAGAGTGAGGGGACCAAGGCTGAGGCAGGCTAAGCAGCAAAGCACATGCGGGGTGGGGGGTTGGGGGGACTGTTACCTTTGCCTTGTCTATGAAATGCAGGATCTCAGTCCTACTGGAAGGGTTCAGGTAGCCGGGTATGGATGTTAACTGACCTAAATACTGCAAGAGAGGCAAGAAAGAGTGTCATGAGAGACAGAGCCAGGCTACTGCTGCTACTACAGAGCACAGACCTGTGTCCCCAGCCACCAGGCCCACATGTCATCCATGCTCTAGGAAGAGTCTCCCCCCCTGTGGTTTTTCAAGACAGAGTTTCTCTATATAACCCTGGCTATCCTGGAACTCACCCTGAAGACAGATAATTTTTTTTTTTTTTTGGTTTCTCGAGACAGGGTTTCTCTGTGGCTTTGGAGGCTGTCCTGGAACTAGCTCTTGTAGCCCAGGCTGGCCTCGAACTCACAGAGATCCGCCTGCCTCTGCCTCCCAAGTGCTGGGATTAAAGGCGTGCGCCACCAATGCCCGGCTGAAGACAGATAATTTATTTGTTTGTTTTGCCTACATGTATGTCTGTGTGAGGGTACTGGATCCCCTGGAACTGGAGTTACAAACAGCTGTGAGCTGTCGTGTGGGTGCTGGGACTTGAACCAGGGTCCTCTGGAAGAGCAGCCAGTGCTCTTACCCACTGAGCCACCTGTCTAGCCCAGGGTGCTACATTTTTACTGAAGTCTCAGCAGCTGTAGACGATCGTCCCACATTTCCTACTGCTTGGTGTTCACAACTGGCATGGAAAGTTCCAGAGACATCTCAAGTCTAGTTTTAGCAGAACAGGGACCTGGTCACTGATGGGCCATTGTGCATAGCCCCACTAAAAATTATTTACAAAAGGGGGGGTCAGCCCAGCTGACAAATATACACAAATAGAAAAAATAAAGCGTCATGGCTTGAATGCACCCCAAGATCCATGTTTGAAACCCAACGCTTGAGAAGTGAGGCTGTGGTGAGTAATTAGTTCACTGAGAGAGCAGGCACTTCTCTTAACCACCGAGTCACACCTACAGCCATCCTTCTCCCTTCCATTCATACACATGTACGCTAGCACCCATGGGACCAAAAGAGAGCACTGAATTCCTTGGGACTGGAGTTATGTGGGTACTGGCAATCAAACCAAGATCATCTGGAAAAGCAGCAAGTGTTCTTACTACTGAGCCGCCTCCCCCCACCCCTCCATTCTTTTTTGACAGAACCTTGCTACCTTCTGGTTACCCTAGAACTCACTATACAATTCAGGCTGGCCTAACCACCCACCCTCCCGCCTTTTTTTGAAAGAGTCTCATATAATCCTGCCAGGCCTCCAATTCCCTATGTTGCCAAGGATGACCTTAAACTTGTGATCCTTCTGCCTCTACTTTCTTGGGTGCTGGCATCATAGACACAGGCCACCACCCCTGGCTTCTGCAGTGCTGGGGACTTAACACTCTGCAAATGTCAGGCAAAGAGCCCTACCTGCTGAGCCACACACATGTCCGGCCCCTCAGCAACGCTCCTGTCTCAGCTTCCAGTCTTGGGATTACAGGCCCGGCTCAGCACGTCTGCACGACGTGGGCGCCACAAAGAACGGGCCACTCCCTTTTTACTGCTGTCCTCTAGTCCCTCCACTTCCTGCCATGGGACTCTGCCTCCAGAACCCAGGAATAGTCTGTCTTAGTCTGTTTGTGCTACTGAAGCAGTGGTGGCACACGCCTCTAATCCCAGCACTCAAGACACAAAGTGGACCTCGTGAGTTCAAGGCTAGCTTGGTATACAGAGTGAGCTCCAGGACAGCCAGGGCCACACAGAGAAACCCTATCCTGAGAAACCCAAACAAATACTTTTTTTTTTTTTTTTTGTTTTTCGAGACAGGGTTTCTCTGTATTGTTTTGGAGGCTGTCCTGGAACTCGCTCTGTAGACCAGGCTGGCCTCAAATTCACAGAGATCTGTCTGCCTCTGCATCCAAGTGCTGGGATTAAAGGCGTGAGTCACCAACACCCCACTACAAATATATTTTTAAAATGAGTAAAATATTAAAGAATGAACAAAGCATTCTGTTATTCCTAATATAGGCACTTTCCTCAAAGAAAACACTTTCCCAAGGCCTAACCACCTACCTACAAGAGGGAAAATTTGTAACTTTAATATTCCCCCTAGCCTATGATCCATTTTACTGACAACAAAAGAAAACAAAACCAAAGAGCACACTTGAGGTTCACAGCCCAGGGGCCTAAGCCCAGGACCCATCAACAAAAGCTCTTGTTTCAATCAGAAAGAACTGCAGGCTGAGGACAGTAGTTAAGTGGGCTCTTTAGCAGAGGAAAAAAACCCAGACACCAAAGGAAATTTTAGCTTCTGCCAGGGATACTTACAACAGTCAGAATGGCCTAACTACAGCAGACTAACATAAACCCTTACACTTAATCCCTCAGCCCCTTACCTAAATTTCCTGTACTAGAGCATCTTGCCTAGAGTTTAATGACTTACAAGGTAAGACCACAGTTGGGAGTCACCACCACAAATGGTAGCATTTCAGACATGGCAGAGACACAGTAATTGTCAGACTGGGAATTTAAAACAACTGTCATTAGCACACTAAAGGATGAAACAGAAGAGTGGAAGAGGAAGAGGAGGAAGGACAGTATAAGAAGGAAATTCTAGAAATCAAAAGCACTGTAGCAGCCAGGCGTTGGTGGCACTCGCCTTTAATCCCAGCACTCGGGAAGCAGAGGCAGGCGGATCTCTGTGAGTTCGAGGCCAGCCTGGTCTACAGAGCAAGTGTCAGGACAGCCTCCAAGACAATACAGAGAAACCCTGTCTCGAAAAAAATTTTAAAAAAGCACTGTAACAGCAACGAAAAGCCCCTCTGGCAGACTCAACTGGATATACTGGCCAAGAAAGGAAACCGATAGGTTTGGACTTGGGAATATCAAGAGAATTCCAAAACTGAAAAGCAGAGGAAGCCACTGAAATGGGGACACACCCGTAACTCAGAACTCTGGTGGAGGAGCAGGAATCTGAGGGCGCCCTCAGTTACCTAGTAAATCTGAGGCCAGACTATTTGAAGAGAGAGGGAAGGAGGAAGGAGAAAAGAAAGAAACAGAACATCTAAGAACCACAGGACAACTGTAAGTGTAACGGACAGACAAGGAAGATATAAGAGTTTGGAGAAGGAGATGGCCGTGGTTAAGAGTTTGGAGAAGGAGACGGCCGTGGTTAAGAGTTTGGAGAAGGAGATGGCCGTGGTTAAGAGTTTGGAGAAGGAGACGGCCGTGGTTAAGAGTACTGGCTCCTCTGGCTGTGCCTGGGTTCAGTTCCCAGCAGACACGTCAGGTAACCTGCATCGCATACACTCACACAGATGCACACGTATCCACATAAAATAAAGGGAAACTTATAGGGAAAAAGTAAAAGAAATATTTACAGTACTGATATCTGAGGATTTCTCCATTTAAGGTGAACATACCAACCCAGAGCCAGGAGGATCAGAGTACTAGGTAGGAAAGAAAGGAAAAAGTTTAGACATAAGCATAACTGTTTTCAGAAAGAGAAACGGGTTAAATTGCGAAGGAAGCCACAGAGAACTAAACATTCTGTAAAAAGGCCAAAGTTAAAAATGACACTGAAGATCTCTTCAGAATACAAGACAAGAATGAAGACTAAAGATTTCAGAGGAAAACCTGCCAGCCTGTAACTGTGAGTCCAGTAAAATGACTCTTGTTCAAAAGTGAAAAGACATAAAAAAGTGAAGCTGCCACCAGATG